AGGAAGGTTTGGTATTAATTATGATTCTGAGGAGGTTTACTTACCGCTAAGCTGACCTTTTGCTACTCCTTCGCCATCCAAACCACAAATCCTACCTCAGATTTTCAAACACTTTTCTATCCTTTTGGTAGTTTAAAAACGCATTTGTATTACTTCATGTATTTGAGTGTATCATATTTTATGTTTACAGACTGCTAATTTACTACCACCTTTATAATTTTTTGTGGATTATCACAATTTTCACTGGCGGTTACGTGAATGTCGCATTTATTAATAACAAAAGTTATTAATAAAAAAAGTTAAAAAAAGTTAAAGTTATTAAGTTAGTTTAGTTTATAAAATTAATGTAAGTTTTGTTACTATATATCGTTTAGGAAAATACAAGGGGTTTTCATAATGGTGGGGTTTAGTTATCAAATGAAAAGAAAACGAGAAAAGATACAAAAAACTATTTATTTAGTTGAATTCCTGACATAAAAAAAATTATACGTAGCTGGTGGTTATACCATTTCTTGATCTACGGACGTCTAAATGGTGAACTGGTGATCTACCAGGCCTACTCAGCTTTTTGACCTAGTGTTTATAAATTACTCCAAAGACAAATATTATTTTCATGAGGTGGAGCTTTGATGTTCTTCTAAATTCCCTTTGTATTAGAGTCACTGATTTTAGTTCACTTAATAAAATTATACACTTAGCCTTTTCTTGATCGGAAAACATGTTTGTGAATAAAACACAACTTGTTTACTTTAAAGAATAAGTAGGGGTTTCGATAAGCACAACAATCAACACAGCTGTTTTTTATTAATGTAAACAAAACTCTTTAAGCTGCAGGGGTACCAATATGAAATATTTAATTCGACTTACAATAGTTTTACAGACGGTAGAAACCCCTGTACTTTGGAATAGACTTATCAAGTCAAACTGGGATGACTATAATTGTTCTAGGACCAAAAAGAAAATAGTCATAAGAAATCTGTTAGTTCGCTTCCATCCTAATTTAGACACAGTAAAACCTACACACCCGGTAAACGTTTAAAGAAAGATGGGTCTTTTTTCAAATCTTATAGGTGTACGGAATTTAAAAGGCCTATACAAAGTCGTTCACTGAAGATTACGATTTAATGTAGCATTTAGTACACAACCTCCCGCTTAAAATATTTTGAAGTAAAAACAATGGGTTAAAACACCAGTAAATCCCGCCAGTATATCCAGGTGACCGGTATTGCCTATCGTGTAGTATCAGTCCGTACTGTTCTAGGGTCCATACTAATCAGGTAACGGCACGCCGACCTCACCCATGTGAAACCACACATGTTCTCAACGGGTTACACGTTATACATATAACTTTGTACCAGTTGATGCATTCAACAAGTCCAAAGTTTTACTCGGAGTTTGGAGTTTTAATTGTTTGGTCAAATGAGTTTTGCTTTAGGCACTTCAGGCAGTCGTTGTGTGTTTATCAGTTTCGCGATTGTTTGGTGTTATTGTTGAGATAAAAAATTTTCGGTAGATAGTTTTCATAAATTTTAACAATATTTTAACAAATTATGATTTAGGAACTCGTCATACAACGGGTAGTAGGGTGTGTCAGGTGTTGATTTGATCTACGTTGTCCTACAGTATCCGATTTCTCATTTACCCTTGTTTCATTTTAAGACAATAGAATTTGTTTACGTAATTGTGTCCAAAGCCCTGGTATTGATACTCTCATAAGTTGACATTTTTGTTAGCATCATGATAGCTCAATGACAATACATCTGCATCAAGAATCTATCTCGTTTATGATTTAACTAATTTCCCCATGTCAATGTAAGCACTATAACCTACTCTGCTACACTCTAATGAAGTTTGGATGGACAAGCAATTAATTTACAATAACACAACTCTTGTTGTTTTTGTGTTTATATACAACGCTTTTGGAAAATATATTTGATTATAACATTTCAACAGAGTACATTCTATGTATTGGGTTCGTAGCTTTATCTGTTCACAATTTTGGTTATTCTACTACAAATACAATTTTTTTATGTATCAGAGCGATTGACGTGTTCAGATCTTATCATGAAATCACAGCATTAAATATTTAAATGTATGATTATTTGTAAATAAATATTTGTAGCCTATTTTTACACTTGTTTCTTAAACTATATAAAGTGCTATATCAAGTGTATTTCCAAGCCCTATATTGATTACAAATATTCATTTATATTTACATAGTTACATCGAACAATTAAAATCCATATTTGATACCAGATTTAAACGATACCCTTTTAGACACACTTGAACAGCTTTTCCATAGCCATTTAATCCCGACACAAAATAATTTACACCCCAAAACACCAACACCTGCTCATTAAAATTCAAACGACATTTTGCGTTCCCTAAACGTCCCCCTTCAACCGCTTCGTACCCTCCCACATCAATGCTCGGACTATGTCTATCATTGCTAAATCTGTTACTCATTTAATTAAAGCGCTCACTTGACCCCGTCATGTGACAATGGAGCCACTGAGCATGTAATTAGATTATCAGAGACAAAGTGGAGAGGGAGTCAAAAGTCAAAAGTCACAGTAGGCTGAGCGGCGGCGGCGGCGTAGGCGCGGTGGCAGTAGATGTGACAGGCTATCAGCTGTTCTAAACTACAGCTGGCACTGCCTACCCACCTGGCACCTAGGGTTGCCAACCCACGCACGAATATCAACATTTGAAATTTAACGATCAATTAAACATAATGTTTGTTTTGGGAATTTTGTACAGCCGATAAACATTGAATGTTTAAAGATCAAAACTGTCCTCATTACAAGTCATCCTAATTGCTCATCCAAATCAGTTTGGGTTTTCAATATGAATAAAGTAGCAAATGTGCATGTAGCTTTCCATATTAAGTAATAATAACTTGGCAAGAAACTACCCGAAACTAACCCGAATAGATAGAATGTACTCTGTTGAAATGTTATAGTCAAATAATATATTTTCCTAAAGCGCTGTATATAAACACAAAAACAACAAGAGTTTTGTTATTGTAAATTAATTGCTTGTCCATCCAAACTTCATTAGAGTGTAGCAGAGTAGGTTATGTGCTTACATCGACATAGAGAAATTAGTTAAATCATAAACGAGATCGATTCTTGATGCAGATGTATTGCCATTGAGCTATCATGATGCTAACAAAAATATCAACTTGTGAGAGTATCAATACCAGGGCTTTGGACTCAATTACGTAAACAAATTCTATTGTCTTAAAATAAAACAAGGGTAAATGAGAAATCGGATGCAACCAACAGAATATTTTTGCTCCTTATTTCTAAAAGAGTCCAGTGGTACGGACCGAGATCTCTTGATGAACACTACTAAACATTAATCACAACTTCTCTATAGAATACGTTAAAACAATATAAGAATATTTCACAAAACATTGTAAGCACACAAACAACACATAATTGTGATGTTCCCATGGGAGAAGTGTTTCCAATTTCCCTGGTGCTGGACAGAACAACATGAACATTGTGTAGCTTCATAACAATGAACTGAATGTTTTGTTCCATTGACGTATGGAAAGTGTTTCGGTTTCAGGTTTCAATCACTGTGTGTTTATCTTAAGCGCACCAGCTGATGAAAACCAACCAAACAATCGTTTAGTTTCCACTCAGTTCAGTCAATTGTTTACAGTTGGAATGTAAACTCTATTCACTCAATTGTTCAATTGCTTCGGGTTTTAGGTCTAGAATCGCTAGGAGCAAAGACGAGGTCTTGAGCGTTTGACTTTGTTATGATACAGAATATAATGGAAAAATGTAAAATAGGATTAGGTTAAGATCACGTAGAAACTTAAGTACATTACTATATTCCAACAAATTATGACACAGGAAATAGTCTCTATGTAGATAGTGTCTATACCCACAAGTCGAAGTACAATAATCTACGGCACTGTATTACCTACCATCATCATATATATTAAAACGTGACAGGGTTTTTTTCACGATTCTGAATCAATTACTTGACGGATTTTCAAGATTTTTGTGTTGAACGAAAGATAATTTTGAGAATTATGGAATGTCGAAGCCATAATTTTAGTTTAGGGACTTAGTTTTTTAGAAATTAGGTTTTAATTTTTTTAAAGTCTAGCAGCCGACGTATACATTCTAGACTAGCGTTTGCTATAATACCATTTGCTTAACGTAACAGCTGTAAACATTCAGCGCTCGCATCACAAATTCAGCATTTGGATGAAAATGAAATGACATACGTAGAATCATAAGGGAGTATGTTTTATCCATGGTAGAATTGACCATTGACTTATTTATACTATGTGTAATGCTATAATCATTGATACGTTCATTTATTCAGTAAGAGGATGAGTGTATATAAAATATACAGAGTAAAATACTAGAAGTTCTAATTTATTTTTGAGCAGTCTTTAAAATATTTAGTTTGTTTTAGTTTAGTGCAATTTAATTTGTTATAACTAACAGCTGGTTGAATAAAAAAATATTCTATAGAACTGTGAGGTCAGTTTATTTACTCATTTTGTCATTGATTATAGGAAATAAGTAAGATTCATCACAGATATTTATTCATCTTAACAGCTTTTTCTTTACTATACATTTTTAACTGCTTAAACTATGCTTGAATTAGTAATAGACACACTATACAGTTTTAATGGACTACTCGATTCCCGTACGTAGGACGGACCAACAGCTCGTCATTTGTAAAGATTCAAATTGCCACTTAATCTTATCGGTAAGGAGTATTGACACGTATTGAGTACATACCTATTTATTGTTCTGTTCTTTGCAATTAAAAATACATTACCTATGTCAAACCTTTGAGGTTTTCCAACATTGATCCTTTACTCATATTCTCTCCCTGGTTTTTCGGCTCATAAACATCTGATGTAATCAGAGCATACTTTTTTTACAGTAGGTGAATTATTTTGCAGTTTTCCCTTGCAACCAAATACAACACTCAGTGTACAAAACTGAATCCTCCTGTTACAGGACTCGATGCTAAAGTGGACGGTGCACAAGACTGGAGGTGGCTGTGGAGGTGGCGGCGGGGGCGGCAGGTCACCGTCGCAGTACGGGGGCGGCGCAGGACCTTGCTACAGCATCAGACGAGCCGCCGCCAGGCTCTCGCGTCACCGCCCCCGAGGCAAGGAGAACTGTGATGGCGACCAGGAGGTACACAAACCTAGCACTAAAACTGCTTACAATTCACAAAACACAAATCTTTGTAAGCGTACCTTAAAGCTGAAGGAAGCCAGCTTGAAGATAAAAGTAAACTTACTTGAATAGAGTTTTTGACAGAGTGTTCTGATATAAATTACTGATTTTCGTCGAATAGCCGTTTAGAAAAACAACTTTTTGTAAAATTTTGCATTTAAATTGTTATAACCTTTGACTACTAATAAACAAATTTTCTTTTTGAATAAAAGTTTAGCCTCAGCTGATCCATTTTTTTATATCACAACTATCACAGCAGTAGGTTGTTAGACTGTAGACTGTGGCTCACTATGTGAGCTTTAGCTAGCCAACTATATTTATTACTTTAGTAAATTTGCTACAGTTCGTCCAAAGTCAATAACAGAACCTACGAAAATTCAAAAACAGAAATATTATGCAAACGAAGACTCACGTCTCAACTTAAATTGTAATTTGCTATTACTACTACCTATATGAAATTTGTACTCATTGTCATCTTTGCAGAACGACTACAGGCCTTCGCCCCGCAAGCGAGACAGTATCTACATGTGTCTGGACTCCATCCCAGTGGCTCTCAGGGACGTCAGCAACTACCAGAGCGTCCCTCGGACACCTGAGAACCAGGCGAAGTCCCTGGGTAGGGCCAGCCTGGGGAGTCAGCCTAGACCTCGCCTCAAGACACCTTGTTCGTCTTGTTCGCCTCACAGGAAAGAACTGCTGAGGGATAGACAAACAGGAGTGAAGCGTGGCAGAAGACAAACACCTTCGTAAGTGTGGCTTTATTCCTTGAGGCGTTTTATTAAACAAAGAATTGAAAGAGCAAAAGATAGTTAGAACAAAAATAGTCATTGGTGTAATCAAAAAGGGGATATTAAGCGTTTAACGAATAAACAATTGTTATTTTAAATTTAAATGCATGCTACTAAAGTTTAGAATGATATTTTAATTTGAAGCTAGATAAACATAATAGTTGTGGAAGTTGCTTGAGCATAGGTTCACCGAATGGTGAAATTAACAAGCAAATTAACTTTGTGTACCCTATTCCAATTTACCTCTATAAAATCTATTACATTGGACACTGCGTGGGTTTAATCTTATTTGTTTTTCCTCTTTTACAGGCATCTGGTTGCAGGAGATCCCGATAGAAAGTGTAGGGCAGAAAGCTTCGTCTGCGATAGTGTGTCTCCAGTAAGAAAAAAACAGCCTTGTTCAAACTTCAGACACCAAGACCTGGCAGCCTTCTCAGACCAGACGCCGTCGACGAGTGAGAGGTCCACCCCTGACCTGCCTCACATAGAGTACTCCCCTTGTCCTCTCAGGACAACACAGAGTCTGGTAGCTCTCAGACAGAGGATGACAGACACCTTCCCTTTGATATCACAAGGTATAAGCTTGGACAACCCTCTGTACTACGCGCTCAAGCAGTCGCCCACCCCCAGTCCCGTGGACCTGGTGAACAAAGAAATACCCACCTTCAAGAAGGATGCTTCGGAAACTCCAGTCCATACGAGAGAGTTCATGTCGAACTTTATCAAAAATTTGAATCTGGGGTCAAATGAGTCTGACGAAATCAAACTGCGGCCTAGGCAATCGATTCTTCCCTGTGATAAGTTTCAGTCGTGTTGGCTCTCCAAGGAGAAGGCGAAGACGTGTGAGGTGTCGCCGTTGGCGAGGAAATTAGCGTGGCTGAGACTAAACAATGTAGATAAAAGTGCATCGGGGAAAAGTCCTAAGTGCGATGACTTACTTTCTAAAGAAAACACTGTAAATTTTTCCATGTCGGATTCAATTTTTGAGAATTATAATTTTTCTCAAGGACGTAGTGTTTCATGCAACCTTAAAACGTTCGTTCATGAACACGAGGATTGTGAAAAGAGGAAGGACATATTGAATCAAAGAGTAGGTGATATAGTAGTAGGTTCTAGTGTTATAAATATCCTAAACACCAACCACGACAGGAAAAAGTGCGAAAACGTGTTAGCGAATTCATCAGAGCGACCTGAAAGTGAAGTTACAAATTTAGATATAAGTAGGAATAGTATTATCAAAAATTGTGTGAATCGGTCTAATGAGGAACGCGAATTGAATGCTGTGCTGAAAAGACGCGGTGTGATATTTAATGAGCGGACATTTGTGTTGAATACCCCACCGACGTCTGACTCCGACGAGAAAAGAACGAAAACATCTTCTGGCTGTACGTCAATAGACTTGGACGAACCTTCTACATTGAAAAGACAAAAGGTCATTCGTAGACGACGCCTGCGGAGTATTAGTGATGATAATCTCCCACTATGTAAAAGAGTGGCTAATAGACATCCAATTTCCTTTCTAACGCTCCCAAAGGGTCTACCAAGTCCTTTCGACACCAAGAGTAACCAGGGTATAGAGGAAACTCCAAAAACCACAAGATCGAAATCAACGTCTCAGTTGCAGCTGACTAGTCCCAAAAAGGTAACATTCGGTTCCCTTTACGACATTGAATACTCTGACAATGGAGATCCGAGCCTTTTGGGGTTAACACTTCCTAAAGGAATACCAAGTCCTCCTAGTCCTAGTGAAGAAGAAATACCCGGAGTCAGACCTCTTGATTTAGACATGGCGAAAGCTGGAAATAAAAGGAAAAATGACGTCACAACAACCGCTTCGGATTGTTCAGAGGAAACGTGGGACTCTCACAGACATTACTTGAAGACTCCGAAACTGTCAGAAAACTTGCTGAATGACGGTGACGTGTCGTTTGCTGAGTCTTCAAGAACGAAATCACCCGCTTCTTCTAAAGCCAATGACGAAGATGACAATGATGACGATTTTTCCAGTCTTGGTAAGTTTAGACAATTATGATTACTTGCTATTCTATACTCAAGGAGGTTTGATACATACCTTTGACCATACAATAGTAAATGGTCAAGCTAAGAAATAACTTATTATATAAGGAGTACATCCCTTACAATCTAATTTAGTTTAATTTTTAACTTTTTGCATGACTCTGTCACAAACTATTATTTCCCTTCTAGCGTCCAGCATAGTGACTGACAGTCCACTACGTCAGTCCCGCTCAAGAAGATGTTTGTCCTTTGCTTCGCCCAACAAACTGACGAGGTCGAGGAAACGGATTTTCGGCAGAGGTAAGTGAAACTCCCGGAGATTTAAAGCCAATTGATATTGTATCACTACAAAAATGCAGACTTTTCCAAATAAGAACAAATTATAAAACATACTTGCAAACTTTTGCCGATCAGTTATTGTACTAAAGTAAATACTGCAGACAGTTTGATAAGACAAGAACATACGGAAGTTGCAGGTGTTTACATCATCACTACCATAATGCAGTAGTGTAGTGATAAGCCATTTACAGGTGATGGGATGGAACTTTGACAAGACTCACTAAAACGTTGGAAATGATAAGCAGGTGCAGCGGAGATAAGTAAATACTGCAGACAGTTTGATAAGACAAGAACAAATGGAATTGGCAGGTGTTTACATCACTATCATAATGCAGTAGTGTAGTGATAAGCCATTTACAGGTGAGAGGATGGAACTTTGACAAGACTCACTAAAACGTTGGAAATGATAAGCAGGTGCAGCGGAGATAAGTAAATACTGCAGACAGTTTGATAAGACAAGAACAAATGGAATTGGCAGGTGTTTACATCACTATCATAATGCAGTAGTGTAGTGATAAGCCATTTACAGGTGAGAGGATGGAACTTTGACAAGACTCACTAAAACGTTGGAAATGATAAGCAGGTGCAGCGGAGATAAGTAAACACTGCAGGTGCCGCCTGGCGGTTCCCAGCCTTGTCGATATTGTCGATCAAAGTGCGAGTTGAACGGATGGGATTTTGTGAAATTAATTTTACCTACGACCGTTTTTTTTTTTTTTTTTTAAAGTAGGCGTTTCAGTACAGTTCTTAGAATTGAAAAGTATCTCATAACAGCATTGTTTATTTTCATAACAGCATAGTTTTACTCATAACAACACGGGTAACGGACCAATGAGGTTCAGGGATTGAGAGAAAAGAAGCAAAATTTTAATTATTCGAAATTCAACTAATCAGCTGTTCAGGCCAATTTAATTGTTGATTGGTGCAATTAGTGTTTGATTCGTTGTTTCACTGTCAGTGGCAATGAGAGGTTATAAACAAAAACATAACCTCTCTTAGAGGTTATGAGTAGTGATTTTTAGTAATTAAAACACCGTCGTAGGTAAAGTAGTGTACGCAACTCGCGTAAATAGTGTTAACGACACTCGTAGAAGTTTTTAAGGCACTCGCCAAACTACTATATTCGGTTACTTTAGTGAACATTCATATACTGATTGGTAAGAACCACGTGTTACTAATTTTATTACGAGGTACTTTTTTATAAAACGTAAAGACATCTTCAAGCAATAAAAAGTATATTTTTTTAATATAAATATAATAATAATATAACGCACCTTGGTTGTTTCAGGTGAACTGGAAGTTTCGCTGAAATGTTTGGACAACGTACTTACAATTCACGGTAAGTCTCGTTGAAGTATTTAGAATATTTCATGATTGTTATTAATTGTGTAACGTCGTTTTACTGTTATATTTTTATATACATCTATAAAGCCAAAAGTACCCATGAACTTTTGAGAAAACTATAAGTCGCAACTCCATAAACCATATACTTAAAATGTTCGTCATGACGAGAAACCTTGCGCAAATCTATCCATTATTCCAAAAATTGCCCTTTAAGGTCATAATTCCTTTCTAAAGGGAAATTTCCATATACATTATGTTAAAATACCTCAGCTGTACTTATTTGTATGTTGTTCTTTCGATTTATTACCTTATCAAAATCAGGTGTCATTATTTGTTTGTATTACTGTATTCTGTTTTGTTTATTTCAGGTTAACTTAACCAATCAATAGTTTTATTAACACTTATCATTTATGAGGTCAAACGGGGAGAAGCCCGTTAATAACAGCTAGTTCTACTTAAATTGCATTTTATTTGCGTTGTTTGTTTATAACTATTCACTTATTATCCTAAGATATTTGGTTATATTTGATGAAGAAAAGATGTTTCGTCCCTCAAACGGAAAGATTTTAAGATGCATCATGTTTCTTAGTTATAAACAGAAATGTCAAATAAAAAAAAATAAAAAAGCTCTTAAAAATATGATTGTTTTTCAGTAATTCGCGGTAGAAATCTAGGACGACCAGGAGCAGAACCTTGCAATGCTTATGTAAAGGTAAGTTATTTGACTATATAAAAGTTATTTGAAATTTCTTTAGTACCGTATGTATTTCAAAACTAAAACTACATTTTTGAAATTTTTAACAATAATGCTATGCCATTTAATTTTTATGAATGCATACAAATTGAATAATAAAATTAGAAAAAATATTGCAATTTTTTAAATGTCCGTTTTTAAACAGTTTGGTACCATAACAAAGTTTTCATTTAGTTGTTAATTATATTGATATGTGTTTCACTTTAAATGTGCAATATTTTCGGATCCAACCAAGAAGAGGGTTTGCAACAGGGGTGCGGGGTTTCCTATGAATGCTTGGGTTTGAGTGGGGGGTTTGTATTGGCACAAGTAAAACATAACTTGGTACAGTTCAACAAAATTAGACTTTATCAGTGACTATTAGTATTTAAATAACTTTTTCTGTAAACTGAAATAACGTTGTTCTTATATTTGATTTTAACAAACGATGTTGTAAACGTTTTTTAAGGTAAGTTATGTTTACCTTAAATAACGACTATGTGCGTTTTTTAGTACTCTCGTTCAAAACTGAAACTCTTAATTTAAAGGTGTATCATTTCTAGATTACCAATTGTGTGCTTTCGTCAAAATCGAACTATTCTACCAACAGTTTTATTCGTCTTAAAACTTTAAATGTTCGGTTAAAAACAAATCAAAGGGTCGCCGGAAGACTGCCCCCCGGAAAACTACCCCCCCAAACAGGTCCCTACGTCATATTGACGTCAGAGACCGGGGGGGGGGTAGTTTTCCAGTCACGGACACTCAAATTTAGTTGTCAAACAGTTCTAATCTAACCTAACCTAACCAACCAAACTTGCTGTAACATTTCGAAATCCTGTTTTATATTCACCACATCACCTTTCTATTATCCAATGGAATTACTCGAATTAAAATTAAAATTAAATAGCATGATTTGTCCAGGGGGGGTAGTATTCCAGTCGCGGACACGGCTTCCATATTGGTTAGTTGGCAGATTTTGTGACGTCACGTTTCACCTGGGGGGGTAGTTTTCCGGGGGATAGTATTCCGCATCCCCAAATCAAAACTATTCCCCCAATGTTACTAAATAAATTATTTGATTTTTCAAAGATATTCCAATAATAAATTCCTATAACACCTCTAAGTGCTACACAAGAAAATCAAACATTTGCCTAAACTCACCCTGAGTAAGATAGTTTCATCACGCGACCGGGAAATATTCCCCGTCGTTTCCCCACGATTGGCAGCCCTGGCGATGTCGGTCATGGTGACGTCATCGGTCGATGGGCCTCAGTCTCTTGTGGGGCCTGTAACAACACTTTAACTATTCATCCTGCCTCAGCCTGCCATCCCATCTTACCATCTATTTATTATTTTTCTAAGACGCCGAATCAATCAAGCCTCACTCGCGAGTGTAGGGCCTGTAGATTAAGGTGAACATTCTGAATAAGAATTGACTGGAAGACGTTTTACAGAAAGGTTAAATATGTAAAGCGAATTAATTTTTCTTTTGTGCTTTAGGGGAGTCAAGTAAAATAAATAGTTTTGCGGCTATTTACTTTAAACATCATAATAATATTCCCATTATATTAAAACAGTTGATTCTTTTTCTTTCCGGTTTAAATTTTCTGCCATGATAAAATTTGTTTCGTCTTTGATCTAGTGGTTTGACGTACTTTTGCACTCCTGTAACATAATATCCAGAAAGCACTAGAAGAGTGGACATTTTGTTGATTGAAAGACAAACAAACAAAGAGATAGTTCTCGATCCAACAATTAGATATGAAATCAACATAAATCAACCTAATGAAGTGAATGAAGAAAATAAACAAATTCATGAATCAACCTTTAAATATTTCAAGCAAAATTACAACTTTTCAAAAATGGAGGTGATTGGATAGTTTATTGGTTCTAGAGGAACATTATCAAATTTGTTTTTGAACTTTTGAAAACAATATGATTCGGACAGATCCTTTTTGAAAATTTTTATACATGAAACATTAAGAGGCTCATTGACTATAATGAGAAATCATTAAATGGCAAACATGAAACTTAATCGGTCTTATAGCTATTATAATCATTAAATATTTTAAGTGTATGTTTTTCTGTGTCATTGGCAACCTTATTTTTTAAGCAGACGTGTTTATTTCATTAATAAATACTTTTCTCTCGCAAAGGATAAATGTATGTGTGTATTTCATAAAAAAATCATATCCTCTCTATAAATACTCAATACAAGCTGGTGTTCTGCACGGTACAGTTTGATGAGCAATTTATTGTACTGTATTCGATTCGCACCACAACTTCCACCGTAAAAAATACATAAACGGTATGTTCCGTTATTCATTGATTAGAAAATCATTATTTTAATCCAATGTTGTGAGACACAATCTCCAAAGCTCCTTGCCAGGGGGAACATAATAATATGTAATTCTTTATTTGAGAAAGGTTCAGATAAAGGTCTACAATCCTAGAACATGTAGGCCTACACAACTTGTTAGCAAGGGATAGAAAGAGAAGTTGGGGTGCAAAACGGGTTACAAACCTAGTCTCCCAACCTAACTCAGGCTCTAAATTTGACACTGAGATTATTTTATTTAAGTACCGGTAACCGAAATTTTTTCCAGTGTTCAATCATTTTGACCTACTTCAAAAAATAGTTCCTGCCTATAGATGTTTACCAGTTCGTGCCTGTGTCTCTGATTAACCGACTGTTACCCAGGTCTGCCTCATCCCCGGTAACACGGACCACCAGTTCCACCGTACCTGTGTCCGGAGATATTCCAACAACCCCAGGTTCGATCACCGCTTTCTGCTGCAACTTTGTGACAACGACGCTGATCGCAGAGTGCTCGTATCCGCCTGGCATCGCGACAGGGCGAGGAGGTTTGTACCCAAGTTTGTAGAATTGTTTTTGGCATGAAGATGAGTAGGTAGTATGAATGGTTTTCAGAGGTTCTTTGACATATTTTGAACATTCACTTTTAAACTCCTGTGTCCCAAAAAAAATTAAAAAGTATAATATCATTACAAAACACTACAATTGCACTTCTCTCTCTTTACCTAGGTTTTATTTAATAAATTATACTAGGTCAAAAATACAGATGCATGACAACTTCCGCAAGCAGAAGACATTAGCCAATTGACAGTACACGTAGACAATATACACAAAGTATATAAACAACAGCCAACAAACAGTAAATTTGATGAGAACACCAGATAGACAGAATTATAAGTGGTTTGTGTCGTACCAGTCCTAAGATTTATCATTCCGTCGCTTCAATAGCCAACGTCGCGACTCGGTTACAACTTTTTATTTCTTATTGTCTGTCGAATCTCTATTTTGTCTTTTACTATTTTCTTTTGTAACAATAATTAACTGAGGGTATTTGGTGTTGAGATGATCGATTGTGAATAATCGTACATTTTGTACTTGATACGACTTTGAATGTATTCAGACATTACTTAAACCCGTTAGATAGTTGTTTTTAAAACCGTTAATTTAACTTTAAAATCACTAGATTTTATTTGAAAAGCGAGAACTGTAAGAATATACGGTGCCCTTTATATAGCCAAGCTCACCTCCTGTGTGAGCGTAAAAGTGGTCTACTGTCGTGTAGGGCAGCGAAAAGTGAACCTTTGCAATTTGTACTTGTAATAGATATAGGATATGTGGATCACACGCACTTTTGTGGTATTGAGTATCTGGGCTTAGATCACTAAAGTGATATTCCCATTGCAAAGCTCGGTCCCCAGTGTGCGTTTCACGTATACACATTATCTTAGGTCAGAGTAAAGTGCTAGAGGTAATTAGTTAGGGTTACCAACTGACTGAGGTACAGCCTCGGCGATACTTAAAGAATGGATCACATAGCGGCTCACCTTTGTTATATTAAGGATCTGAGCTTTGCTCACTAAGTATTCTCTCTGCCAAGCTCGGTCCCCCAGTGTGAGTTTCACGCATACACGTCATCGTAGGTCAGTGTAAAGTGCTAGAGGTAAAATTTTGGTGATACTTGAGATATGAATCACATATTGGTCTTGAGGATCTGGGCTTAGCTCAAGTAAGTTGGTAAGTATTCTCTCTGCCAAGCTCGGTCCCCCAGTGTGAGTTTCACGCATACACATAATCGTAGGTCAGTGTAAAGTGCTAGAGGTACAATTTTCTTTGATACTTGAGATACGAATCACATATTGGTCTTGAGGATCTGGGCTTAGCTCGCTAAAGTGATATTCCCATTGCAAAGCTCGGTCCCCAGTGTGCGTGCAGCGTGTACCCGTAGGACAGCTAGGGATGCCAGGGGCCGGGAAGCTGGGACCCGATCGATCACAGATGTACGCGCCAGCGCGGGAAGCCACGGTGGGGGATATTTTCCCTCATCCGGGAAATATTCTCTCACTTGGGATATAATTGCATTTCATTCCACAAATACAAAAACTACGATTATACCGTATTTTTTGTCGCGATCACCTAACCGACTCCATGCAAAATTAGTTGAAAATCAATGTATTAAAAAGTTGTTCACAAAATGGAAATTTATCTTCATGTTTATTTCTAAGAGGGATATAAGGGATTTTATGTTCTAGGTGGGGATAAACATTTCCCCCTGTGGAAACTCGGGACGCCAGTCGTACCCGGACCCCGCGAGTGAACGTTTTGTGTGGAGTTTTGAGAGTTTTCGTTTACAAGTGGCACATTAGTTAGTTCAGTTTCTATTGGATGGGATACTTACCTGTTTTACCCCGGATTACAATTGGAGTATGTCCTTTTAAATTATGTGTTGTGATCTAATTTAGTCGTCGTATACATAGAAAATATTTGGTCTACAGTATTTGGTTTGATTAGGCTGTAATTTTTATCAATGTACAATCAATTATAATTTCTCTTGACTCTTTTTGTAAATGTATCACCTACATAGTTTTATATTTTAGTTAGAAAATATCGGCACTTTTAGTTATATTTAAAAAAATATTTATTACTCCTTATTATGTTATTTATTTGCTTCATTTGCACCATGGAGTTGATTAATTCTAGTAGTACAACGTTTCAAACCTTGAAATCTTTGTTTACAAACCAATTGCAAATAAACGATTAAATTCGTAGCCTACCACAAGTCACGCCGTGCAAGAGAAATGTGTGTACATGATTATTTTACCTTACATAAGAGCAACAACGAAAAAGTTCATTTATCTTTTAAAAGCCTTAACTAGTATCTACCGAGAGAGAAAAAAACGCGAGAGTGTTCTAATTGGGCTATTTACCAAACCAATCTTAATAGCACATCTATTTAAAGTAGCCTATTGTTTGTCGATGGAAACGTGTTTTATTTTTAGGGTTTGAATGTTTTTGCACTAAGTTTTCCTAATAAACTAACAGGGCAGCTAGATGGAAGATATATCGTTTCACGACGTGTATATAAAAAAATTACCCTTAGATTATAACCATTGTTCAGTGGAGATAGTTGGACGCCTCGATAAAAAATGAGTTCGAAAACATTTTAATATGTACTTAAAACGCCAGTTTCCATTACATTAACTTTTTAAAGAGAATTACTAGTTGAGTAAAATTGTTAGGTTTGGTTACTTTTAGTTTGCGTATTTATAGATAGTGTTACATCGTAGCGACAAACGTGCACATGTCCGACGAATTACACACTTTTAGGATGTTTTACCCTTATTTTAGCCCACAAAATTACAGCAGGTACCAACTTCAGTAATACGCCTTGCCGTTGCTATTCATATAGGCAATATTATCAATCGCACATTTTCAGTTACTAAAATAATCTATTGTTATTGCACATACTGATTGATTGTCTCTTAACCCAAATTGATTAAATTGGGTTTAAATTTAATTTAGTTGAAATAAAATATTTCAGAATTGCATAGCTTGGAGCATTGAGGATTTTTTTTCTTTCATGTCCAAAAACAAAGTAATCATCTCAATTTCGTAATGCACTTATTATTAACAGCTTGTAATGCAAAATAAGAAACATTTTTGAATTTAAATAGGTTGTATATTGTTTGTACTAGGTGTACGATTTTGTATATATGTGACATGTGACGTTCAACCTCATTGCAAGCATAACCCAACAAATAATCGACGATCGTCATAGCCGTACATATATGACAAGACATGTAAGCAAGTTGTTGTAACTCTTCATCGATCGTTCGCCTTTATTTCCAGCGATCTTTCTTGAGTGAGGCTAGAAACCTTTTTATGTATCGTGTTCAGACATCTTTTAAGTCTTTTTTTCGAGCACGATTGTTGGTACTGTTTCTAAACTATAATGATGCTCTATGATGTCTTGTTTTATTTATTGAGTTGTATGTAAACTTTTAATTTCTAAACTTCTTGTTGAACAGAGGTTATGTATAATAAAATTATTTTGTTGACGTTTAAAGTACATTATAAATACGTATAAATGAAATTGCTATTTGAGGTTTCAGGTAATTACCTAATTAAATCTTGGTATTGACAGTTATGCTCCTATACTACCATATCTGCTTCTGCGATACAGTAAACATTATATTAAATTTATCGACGATCATGCACCATTTATTTGACGCGCGTTGTATTGCACGGTTAAAATATCATGTTTTATATCCAAATAACATTAGCTAATTACATAGCCTATCATATAACGATCGACTCTTCAGTAGGCCCCTAGCTTATATTTGCACCGGACATTTTCGATCACCGATATTTGTTGTTTTGGAACAATTTGTTTATAATTTGGTACGCGATGATTGATAATATATTGTTTTAGGAAACTCAATATGCTCAATGTCATCCTGCGTATCATTTAACAAATGATTTATTTCCATAACCTAAATTTATTTGCCATTACAGGTTGTTTTAGTTTCAAAAGTAAAAATTGAATTTAATTAATGTTTATTCACCAAATTTTCATATAATGTATACAAGCAGACTATGAACATATTCACAGCAGGCTATAAATAAACGCCCAAGTTCTTGAACAATTATAACTGACACTGACAAGTCTCCATTTCCAAAAGAGGAAAGACTTTCAGCAAGTTAGCCAGAATGTCCTTAGTTTCCCAAGCCGCCGCAGGATGCAGGTCTGCTGCTTGTAAGGACCCTTTACGGCGTGTGTACAAGTCGGAATTCCGCCGGTAAGAAGTAGCAAAACGTAGTTTCATTCAATAATATAGGATAACAAATGGACTTATACCTTATACCACTTTAGAAAGCAGTCGTTACCGGCTATAGCACAATAATGTTTACTTTTTCAACCAAATGAAGCTGCACCAATAACTACACAAATAGACACAAGTTATCAAAATGGAGGTAGTGCTTACACAAATCAGCTGATAGTAATTAGCTCACAAATCACGGATACACGATGAGATTTTAGAGCAATCTTGTTGAGCAAGCTTTAAGGTTTGACAAATTTTCTACGCTTACCATAATTAAAAGAGGCTAGAAACCGCCAACACACAATTCATAGACACAAATCTATATCATTTAAGTAGTACACTACACTACACCTGGATCGTGGTTATAGGTCACAAATCATAAAATCAAGACGAGGAGAACAATCTTAGCAAACATCAAGTTTTCCTAAACTTAAAATGAAAAAGATCAGGGATAGGAGAAAAAGAGGCTAGAAAAAAGGCAAGGAGCCTACTCATTTTATGCAAAAACTCCGAAGCCCAAGAACCATACAAGTACTCTCGTTTTTATTTTTTCAAGGGCAGTAATTAGATTGTTATACTAAACCCTAAACCTAATGCGTTCATAGGTGTGATTTTATTTAGACGTTTCAATGAATCAATTCAATAATACAGTACGAACACTTTGTTTTATTGTGGTTTGAATGAGTACAAGACAAACGGTTCAGCTATAAAATTAAGAGCACGAAATAATCTTTAACTAACCTGTCAATTAGACCATTGACTATTTACTGAAGTTGTATTAATAGTCAAAGTTTGGACCTAGTTCGCCAAATTACTCTGTAAATTTGAAAAAAGCGTTATAACCTAATCTGGTAATTTATGGCTAGAGCTTTATCATAATGGAATGCATAGTTCTACTCATAGTCAAAGGTAAGAGTTTCTAAAGGCGAAAACTCCCCAATTGAGACACCAAAGCATGTTAGGCTTGTTAAGTGTAATTCACTGTCAAGTATTTGCAGTGTTTATGTTGATTGGTTATGTTATGAACTACGAACATGCGGCGTGCATGTTCACATTGCATGCGACATAGCGCTAAACTGCTCAACTGCTGCGGTCTGTTTACACATGACAGACGTTCAAAGCACGCTTCTATTAACAATCTTCATCTCTCACGGGAGAATCACTTGCCTCATTCCATATTCATGACTTTGTTACCGAGTTGAAGTGATGACCGTCAAAGCTGAGTTGGTATGAGTTGTGCAAATTTTTTATTAGTTAAACAGTTTTCAATGGGATATTGCCTTAGAGTTGTTCTAAAACAGTTTATTTCATGATAACAAGGGGAACCTTTGCGATTTCGCATGTAAAGAATATTGAACTATGTTCTTGCATAAAATGAATCAATTTAGTTAGTAAAGTAATCAGTATAAGGTAAGGAATAAAATGTATATAGTTGAGCTTAAATTCACTACTTATCGCCTATTTTTGAACGTTGGTTAGGATTTTACAGCGTTTGCGAATATCAATACTTATTAAAGTCAAATAACACTCACTCACTGATCACTATATCTCAAATACTACAAGCCATAAAACCTCAGGAATTGGCATGGAAGTTCCAATCAACCTTTAGGTGTGTAATAAGAAGCGTGTTCAAGAAATGCCATCATGGCTCTGCCCCAGTGGCTTTATAAGTTCCATGTTATCCTTCTGGAGAATAGATTTGTTTACATTTGAACACATGAATACGCATTTGAATCTGCATTATTAATTAAGGGAACAGCTGGATATATTTTATTACATGAAATGAAAATATTCGTTGTGGTTTTTAAGATCTGCGTGTTCTATAATTTAATACCAGTATATTACTCACGAATACTAGAATAAACGTATTTTTATAGTATTCGTGGAATAAACCCTTACTTTTTAATTTAAAATTTCGTGAGCGAAGAGACGACGGGTTTACTAGTCTTTTATAACAATCCTTGGGCATCAAATTATTTTGAAGGTTTGTCCATGGGGGACGCAGGCTTTGTTTACTTAGCGGATGGTTGTTTACTTGGAGGACGTAGGCTAAGTTTTAGCGTTACTTTTTTAGGGCAATTCGCTAAAAATGAAGATGATTTACAGGTAAAACTAATAGGTTATATATTTTAATTAAGGGGTTAACTGGAGTTCCAAATTGATATTATTTTCACATGTTTGTTTTATTTAGACTTCTTCTAAATGGGGTTCAGTATAAAAACTAATCTCTTCACACTCTTGTAAATCACAACACATAAACTCTAGAGCATAAGAGGCTATGCATTTTTGTCTCGCAAATCCTTAAAGTTCGACTTTGAAAGTATTATTATATAGCCTATAACCATATCTTAGTATTCAGAGAACTTAATTCATGAAGAGTTTTTAGATTTTTTAAAATCTAGATACAATTTTAAGACTTTTTTACTCTTTGCATTCTTTGCATACTCTTGCATTGTATCTAGATTCTAAAAAGACCATAACATACACAGTTTTCCTATTTTAAAATTTCCCTGCCATTTTGGAAACAATGGAATCAATATTTGTTACAATACAATTTTAAGACTTTTTTACTCTTTCCATTTTCGCTCTAAACGTACTCGTTTAGGAACTACATGATGCAGAATGTACACCACAAGGCATTTTTTCGTAGTTGTAACACACTGTAACTCCTAAGAGAAAAAATCCCAAGAATAAAAACTTTTTTAAATTGCATTTACTTTCTTAAACACTCATAAACTAGAGGGTCATCCATAAGAAAAATCAAAGTTGGCGGCCATATTAGAAAAATGGTGGCTAAAATTATTGTTTAACTTGACCAAATTGTTTAAATAAAAAATCCAAGGAATAACTTTCGAATAAAATAGCCTGTCACACTAATATCAATCACCCTGCATATAGGCCTATATTTTATTCTTAAACCTCTTGAACAAATTAAACACCACGAGCAATACTCGACCCCCCTGGTACTACAGTTATGACCACTAAAATGTACTTAGTTAGATTTAACTGACTACTCAATACAAGACACAGTCACAGCTTGACGTTACTTTAAGAAGTATATTTTTTTCTTAGTAATAAAATTATAACGTTAAAAAATAAATGCAAAATAAATTACTATGATATAAAAATCGTGTTGCTAACATAAATGAGCAAAATAGTTGTTTATGAGAAGGGGGTTGGCATTTGCCCAGCAGTCAGTTTGTTGCCAAATGCAGTCTATGTCGGTTCAAGTAAATGTTTGTTTACTGATTGTATATACTAAAAGCTTCTGAGCATTAACCTACAACTTATTTCCATTGACTATTCTGTAAATATAAATATATATATATACTTATAATAAAATGTATTTTATTAGGTATCCCTAGACTGAAACTTGTGAATGAGATTACTGCATTTCCGATAGTCTTCTTCTTTTAATTTATTTTTATGCGGATGATTGGCACATTTCTAAGTATTTGAAAAGTTAAATAATATATACCTATATATGTTACTTTATGACTTTGTTACACATGACAATACAAAGTGCTGCACGATGCCAAACATAAAACAGAGCTACACGAGCCTTAACATGAGGATATTCATGGCACATAACAAAAAGTTAAACAAGATATAACAAAAGACTACACGAGGCAATATTAAGCATAGCACAAGGTTAACTAGTCATCATATCACAATCACAGGTTACAACACAAGGCTGGACGAGTATAACGTGAATTAAATAAAGGCATATAACTTACTACCCGGTAAAACTCAAGACTATATAGCATAAGTGACATAACTTATTCAGCACTCATAGTACACTTAAACTTGTCCATATATACTACCTAACACTCATATTTACTGTGTAGCAATACCTTTAGAACCTTTCTACAGTATTTAATTATTTCCTGTTGTTAATGTTGTGTGTTGTGTGTTGTGTGTAGAAAATGTCTGTAAACGACACTTGATTTGAGGACAAATGTAGTAGACTGGTGTTCTGGAATTTTATTTTTAAGTTTTAACCTCTCTAAGGGTAAACTTTGGATCAATTATAGTGGTAAATTAACAAATTACTCTTGAAATTATCTTAAACTATACATGTTTTAAAACATAACAGATTTACATAAAACAACTACTTCATCCAATTCTTCGTATTAAGTTCTTAAAAGTGACTTACCTAACCTCTTTAAAATCAATTTTTTTGACTAATTGTTAAACATTTTAGATGGGAGGAGATTCTTGAACTACAGCTTTAGGAAATATTTTGTTGTATCATTAAAGTATGTACATCTGTGGCATTTTTGTTCCCTGACTCTTGAGCTCTCATTTTTATCTACCCTCAGGATGAGTACAATGCACTCTGCATCGGATGTAATATTAAACTATAAATAAGATATCACACACAAAGTCATCTTTATCTGCATTTATCAATCACTGTTTTCTCCCTCTTCTACCATCTGGCCTCAGACACGAATGCTGTCAGATTTACTTGTATATAAAAGCCAGAAGCCATGTGAAGAAGCCATATACCGTGACCTGACTATTCAGGGTGTTGCTGTGATCTGTGTTTCTATAATATACGAGACAGCTCAGTGAGCCAGCAAAACTAGTGTTTGGTGTCATTGTTTAGCTGTTATTTTTATTGGCTTTTTGTTTTTCAGGAGAAGTGAATTCCTGGGATGTATGTCCTTTGCTGTCAAAAATGTCACAAAAAAGGTAGGTTTAAGTTTGGTTACTATTAGCTTTGACTACCAATATTCAATTCTATTAGATTTTGGGGTTTTTTAACTTGTTCTCCCTTTGAAAACACCAATACATTAAAATCTGTTAATTTCAATTAGTAAGGAACTAGAGCTCGCCCCGTGGTCGAAAACTTGACCAAAAGTATGTATTGTGCAAAGCAAACTTCTCCATGATATGATGATGGTATGATCAGGATAGCTGTCATAAGTTTTGCAAAAGTTATTTTAATATAAAAGACTTAATTTTTTACGAAATGAGTATAATGTTAATACTGTAGGCCTACATGCGTTTCCTTGAATAGCATCAGCATAGGTTGAGTTTGGTATCAAATTAAAGGTTTTATTTAGTAAAATACACTGCTGGAAACTCAAACTCAAACGGACAACCGAGTCAAAATGGCAACCATTAAAATATTTCTTGAATCTGCCATGTTTTACCCAGCTGTTATTTTGAAGCTGCTCGGGGAAAATCATTAGTTTACTCTGAAAGCAATCTTAGTATTGCAGATCCATTAATCCAACTTCCACAAACGGATCCCACACTCCGCACTGCTCGCCTTTACTACTTCCATCACCACTTCCTACGTTTTGGACCTGTTTCCCTCCCTTCCCATAGCATTTAAGTATTGCAGATCCAGATCCATTAATCCAAATGCCACAAACAGTTCCCACACTCCAGACTGCTTGCCTTTACTACTTCCATCACCACTTCCTACAATTTGGACCTGTTTCCCTCCCTTCCCATAGCATTTAAGTATTGCAGATCCAGATCCATTAATCCAAATGCCACAAACAGTTCCCACACTCCGCACTGCTCGCCTTTACTACTTCCTTCACCACTTCCAACGTCGTGGACCTGTTTCCTTCCGTTCCCAAAGCATTTTAGTATTGCATACCGGTATACATTAATCAAAATGCCACAGACGGTTCCTTCTTTGAACGACTCCGTAAAATAATTACCTAATATAGTAAAATAGAAGTCTTCCAGTGGTTGAAAACTTGACCCAAAAAATTACAGACTTCTCTATTTTCACCCCACACTGTAAATAAAACATGTGATTGGAATTTGTTTGGATTTTCTGTTTACATTTTGTTGTTATTTTGTCACCAGCATGGCAACCCAAAAGCCCATATTTTATTTTATTTAAAATTCATTTTTCGTATTTATTTTTGATCCTATTTTAATTTATAAAGAGATTCTGCATATCTACAGTAAAATATCTTTAATTTGGTATCAACCACGTGTAATTCGGTCCAGTTGTATGGCCAGGCTAGCTGTCGTAAGTTTTACTAAAGTTTTTTAGTATATAAAAGATTTCGCTAAAAAATCCTTGATTTAGTCATAACATAGTAGATTCGTTTGGAACACCCTATAAGCATAGGTAATTTGTATATTCTGTAAGCAAATTGATCTACAGCTTTGGAAGAATCTATTACCATACATGGTTTCATGGTAAACCAATGGTAGTACTGATACACTTGTTTTAGGATTTGCAAAAGCCAAAAATTATTTTTACTCAATTAATCTTTTACTTTTTTGCATAGGTTAAAAACAAATTTTCATAATTAAAATTGATTTCAAGAGACAGTCATATCATATTAAAACTTGGATAATTTTTGTTGTTGTAAGATTCCAATCAGTAAATTTTTTTTATTTCAGCAGCAAACCTTACTAATCTTAGAGCAAATGTTTTTTGCTACATAGGTGAGGTCTGAATGGAAAATTCATTCTAATATTAACCTCTAGTAAAAACATTTTAACCACAAATTCGCCTATTACGCTGCAAAAGGAGTGTTTAGTGTGTGCTCAAAACAGTTTTTTTAGAAGTTAAAAGCTATTTTTAATGGATGATAGTTTTGAATGAATCATTTTTTTTTTACATTCAGTCTTAGGTGTTAGTTCATCTTTAAACTACTTACAAATGTTTAAAATAGCTATCAATCTGTAATACAAGCTTGTTATTAAACAATAACAACTTATGTCTATAAAGCTGATATACAGTTATTTTTATAACCCCGCAACTGCATTTCAGACATGCAATTGTTGTTTCCCCCAAGTAACTATATTAGGCTATTATTTTTTGTAGCCAATTTAGATTATATTTTTCATTAAATCATGACTGTGGTTTCAAGTTACTAAGACAATGCCTTCTTGTTATATTAAAGGGATCAATTTATAAGATTAGTCTCTGATAAGATTCAAAGGTCAGTTACATTTGGCTTGAAATATCAACGACCCACAACCACACCCATAGTAGATTTGTGATTACAAAGGGTAAATAAAGCTTCTGTAGGCTTATTCCTCCATCATGCATCTAGTTTACATACAAGATTGGTCTCAAAGCTCAATATATCAAACTCTGGTGCCTGTTGTGTTTAGCAGTTCTGTTCTGGGAGTTTAAAATTGTCTCATAAATGTTTATAAATCTACGCGTTTCAACAAAACTCACCAGTGATGATTATAGGCTTACACTCTATAAGTTTGATACAAAATTATATTTAATTAGTATAAAGAGACTCATGGATTTAAGAATGAGAATTTGGCATTTATCTTGTATCTCTAGCTCTTGTCTGCACATTAAAGACTTTAATGGGTATAAAAAATCAATACCTCCGCCATAAGTTTGGAGTGAATAGCTTGTACTGTATTTAGTAGTTTCTTTATTGAGATTTAATTTAAATTATGTTCATGATAAAATGAAATTATACTTTCTTATACATCCCATGGATCAATGAGTTTTAGGTTTGCTGCCAGAAGGAATAAGTTTACATAACAATTTTATTTTTCTTAAATTTATAAAGCTTTCAGTAAGATTTTTAGTGGCTGAAAAAACTTTGATAACAAGGTGGAATCGGGAGAGTCTGTTACAATTTTATCTTTGATCTGCAAAAGGTGTTTGATGTGATTGCTTACTGATGAATTAAACATCCAGTGATCACTGGCTACAAAAAAAAAAAAAAAACATCCAGCCAATTTAAGTTGTATTGTGTATGTGCTATAAGCAGTGTCCGTAGAAATTTTGTTTACATTTGTTTAATACTTTGCAACCTCGATAAAAAGGCCCTCCATAACATGTCATCCTTGATAACGAGTGTCATTTTCCAATCCCCTTGAATTTATTTGATCTCTAATTACATGTTATTCTAAACCTCAATAAGAAGTCGACCTTGATAACAAGTATTATTTAATAAATCCCCACGAGAGTCTTGTTATCGAGGTTTTACTGTATAATAGATTCGATCGAACAACTAATAAGTGAGCTGGGAAAATGTCTAGCGTTCAGGTGAGGTTCGCTAGCAGCCAAAAAAAAAAAATAATCTAGAAGACTTTTTTTCCAAAAAATATGATAAAAAGTGTAAAAGGTTTTTGCATGGAATAGCCGGTGTGTTTCCACTGTCTTAAAATCCATGAATTACAATCATATTTATGAAATGCATGATTGTTTTTTTGTTTTTGCAGGAGATAAGTGGAACGTTCAGACTCTTGTCACAGCAATGTGGCAGGACACAAAATGTAGCCACCACATCCACAGCTGCTGACCATCCAGGTGAGATGAAATACATTGATAAGAAAACATAAGATAAGATACATTAAGATAAGGTAAGATAAGATTCATTGATAAAATAACATATTATATATTATGTAGCATGAGTCAAACATTTGTCTATCAAAGGTGAATATTCTAATCAAACTAGTCCATGTTGTAAATAGTTGAAGTATATATTGAATTAAAAAAAGCTGATTGATTTTTAATCATAAAAATAAATTGACTAGTTATAGTTCGGCCTGCGCGCTAATGCTAAACCAATGCTGGAGGAGGTCGCTTTCTAAGCGGCCGAACTATAGTACTGTGTTTGCAGGATAATTCCTGAATGCCAATTGTTTAACTTATATTGATTTACGAATTGTACACAATTTGAGGTGTCTAAAAATTGTTATTTTGTGTTACAAAGTTTAGACTAAACCTTCTCCTTGGTTGTTATAAAGATTTCTTTCAATTATCAATCGATTATCATTATTCAAGATGGGGACGCATGTCCGTATTTTAACCCAAATATGAGTTAATGATGAGTGCAGGATGAGTGACGCAATCGTTTAGTCTTGTTAGTGACCAAGGTTGACATATTCCTTAGACACAGCTGTTAATTAATAGCTCGCCAATGACAACTAAGGGACCTACATTTTATGGTGGAATCCGAACCCGATTTTATCCTTGTGAACGAATATTGGTCTAATTATCAAGATAGTACTGTGGATAGCCGTAGTACTCACTAGTGTGGGCTTCATGTTAGAACAACTAATTAATCCACAGTTTTAAAGTCTAAAACAAAATTAAAAAGAAATCGTACATGGAAAATAACCGTCAATCAAATAACTTTTCCCTCAAAGAATATTCTTTGACTTTTTACCTGGCAATTACAATAGCATAGTGTTGCAAAAGAAAGTGTCATTGATCAAGCGATACACACTACTTATGATACCAACATTTACAATTATTACTAATGAATATCATAGTGATTGTCAATGTCGACACTGTTTTCCTGATGAAGTTGTATTGTTTCTGCAGATGTAATGGCAAACCAGTCAGAGTCCAGCGTGGAGGAGTGTGTAAGCATCGAGGAATCGGATGTCGCACCCACTCCCGACCCTGGTAAGTAAAATCATTTTAGGCTATTTTATTTTTACTATAACTTGACTAAAGAATTTTTCCCTAAAAGAGAATGAGTTTTAACATTGTTTTACAAAACTGCTATACTATTTCTCAATTTTGCTGTCTTAACACTTTTTTCTTTACAACTATTGTTTTCTGTGGGTTTTCGGCTGTTGGCCAATAACAATAGCAAAGTCATCATCATCAGCTCTTATCTTAATGGATATATTGATCCCCTATAATTGGTAGCCTGTAAGCTCAATCTTTAAAACTTTTTAGCTTTTTGATTGTTCAAAACTGGACCCAGCTTTTCTTAATTGTTGGATTTTAGTATACTATTTTGTCTAAGGATCTTTGTCAGTAACAAAACTTATCATTTTCACCCTTTTAATACTCATCCTCCAGACATCTTCACCTTAAATTAGTTAAAATACACACCCTATGTATGTTGGCTTTGCATACAGTCTAATCTCAGAGTTTTCCTGATTGAATCTCTCCCATGCTTGTCGCTCTAAAAACAGCCTCTCCTCTTCTTCCACTTGCTGTGTTTGCCATTCAGCATCAAGTCCTATTTTACAATATCTTTCCATTCTACTTTCAACTGTTCTCATTCCAACAACACAATTTTCTCTCCCGGACTATATAATAGCAAATTTTCCTTCATATGTCCTTTCCTCGAGACTTTTCCACCTTGGTCTTACTATTTTCACTTTTTCTAATACTAATTTTTGTGTAATAGTATTGATGGGAGATAAGATTAACTGGAATACACTTTTGTTTTTCAGCTCAAGAGAAGCGGACATCAATATCGAAGAAAGATGTGGATAAAACATGTAAGTTTAAATACCATAATATCGTCAATATTTGATTTTTACATTCTGAAACTGTAATTAAAATACTTATGTTAAGCTTGTACTTCTTTCTCTGCTCTATAATAATGTTTCCCCTTTTCATACAGGAAACTGTGTTACACAGCTCAGCTCGGGAAAAATAATATTATAAAATTCAGCATAAGAAAAATTTAAAACTTTCTTTTTCAATAAAGAGACCTGTTCCAGAATGCTGTTTCACTGCATCTAGTAAATTGAAATCTGGATGTTGTTATATAGTATGCTTCTTAAATTATGTGGAATATTAGTTAATTTACTGTGCTGTAGTTAATTTAGCTGCAAATTTCCACAAAAAATGTGCATATCAATTTCAATTAATCACACAGAATCATCCTAACAACTAACTGTTTTGCTGCAGCAAATGAAGACAGCATATTCCTTAAGCATCTGGAGCTGGACCCGCCAGTGGAGAACGGTCAAAGCAAGGGTCAGCTGCAGGGCAGCAAGGGAGGGCGAACACCTTTCACCACGACCAAGAGGCTGTCCAGACAACCGGGGACTAGCTTCGGCTTCTCAATAGCGTGGACGCATCCCCCGAGGTAACTACCGCTGTCTTGTTAGAACTTGTATCACACTTTAGTGCTGTAAAGATATTGTAATGTTAGTTGTACCAGGGTAGAAATTTTTTTGTTGTGTTGGCAGAATAAATTGTCTGTGTACCGTTAGAGATGTACTGTTAGAGACGGCCTTATTAACCGTTAGAGTTAATAAAAAAAAGCCCTTCGGTAGACAGATTTTTATCCTCACTTTAAAACTTTGTAATTGTGAGGTCTCTATACTTCTCACACATGTTACTGTGTTTCTACATTGGTTTTATTTACATCCTGACCATCTCTAACTGTGCATACAACAGACGTGTTGCCAACACAAAATTAAATAGTGGTTTACTCATAAGCCGTGTTTACACGAAGCCTGTCGGCAGGCAGGTTACTTGCCCCAGGTAATTTGAAATACACTAGAAGTATGTAACCTGACTGCTCTACTGAGCTCGTGTTCACTTGGCTTTGCAACTACAGTAAAAACAAAACATATTACAGATATGTTTGTGATGTAAAATGGTTAGATCTTAGTTTAATCATACTTACATGTCCTTATAGAGCTTTCAGAATAGGGTTGAAGTTCATGGAAAAGTGTGATGTGACTACAATAGAAACTAAATGGGTTAGAAAATAAATGCCTCATGATTATACTAGGAAGAAGGAGGCAAATATATATCTTTAGGTCAATGAAGCTGATAATTTTGTAATGTAAGCCCATTAATTGCATAGAAAACAAATTGTTTATTTAAAGAAATATAGTAATATGGTTGATTTTTATATATTAAAACCGTGCCACATTTAATCCTTATTACCTTATTTACCTTTGAATATTAAATATATTATACCTTGCGTAGCAAGAGTTTTAGAAAATTAAAGCAGAGTTAAATTCAAATGTAGTTTCTGGCACGTTTTTCATGACACAGATGTGGTAAAATCATAAAGCTTCTAGCGTAAGAAGGATTATGAGTATTTTGATCCATAAATATACTATATGACATTGGAATGAAAAAAGCTATTTTCAAAAATAGCATGTCTCTCAGTGGTGCTGTATAGCAAAAGTATACAATTTTTGTCCATTGTGGATATGTAAACAAAAGATATTGTAAATAAAAAGATAATATAGTCTAACACTTGTGGTTTGTTGACAGAATAGAGCGTGTGGAGGCAGGGTTACCAGCAGACCAGGCAGGGTTGAGGCCGGGGGATTACGTTATCTTTGTTGACAAGACCAACGTGGTAACACTGCCTGAAGAGGAGATCCTTAAGCTTATCAAGTAAGAGAAATAAAAAACAAAGAATACCACAGAACAACAAAACCTCCATGCCTAGCCCCCAAAAATAGCATCCCTTGGACAAAATGTTGTAATTTTCCAATCCTTAAACATTAAAAAAATTTATTGTGGTACCATAAACAGCTTAAATAAAGTTTTTGCAACAATGAGAGTATTGGATTAAGAGGCTATCAAATTGTTTCTTTAAAATATTTAAGCTTGTAGTTCTGTTTTTATGTGTTACTAGGTTTAGTATCAAAATCATTGAGAGTAATTCATACACGTATAACTAATATGTGCTTACACATTTTTTTTACTCTGAAAACATAAAAGTTACTGTTTTAGGAAAACAAAAAAGAAACTAGCATATGGCAAGACGGGGTGTAATAAAGGGAAAATTATTTATAACAATATTGTAAAGTTAAATGAACCTCTCCCACACACTTTAAGGTCAGAGACATTAAAGGTAAGGTTGGAGTCATACTATATGTGTATTTCCAGAACTTTGTTACAAGAGGCAATGGTTTGATTCCATGATACCTAAACAAATTTGACTGAATAGATTACTTTCCTATAAAGATGTTTATAGTTTCTCCATTCTGGTTTTGGGTTTTCCATTACGTCTTTCCTTGTTAAACTTGTATTACTACTGATTATATCCTTTTATCTAATTCTTCCTAAACTATTACAGTAAATCCCTTGTTGATCTAGTAATTTTGAATTCATAACTTTATATATAACTAGATATTATTTTAGAAAAAACTTGAGTCCATACATTTTTAAAAACAACAAACTGTTTATAGGTCATGTGGCAACACTTTAACGCTGGAAGTATACAGGAAGGTTTCGGCTAACGGAACGATTGCCCGAAGCTCGCTTGTATCCACCGTTGGTCTGCCAGTGGCGCCTCGACAATACACCTCCACCACATGTTCAGCAGCCACTGGCGCCACTACGACAACCGCCTCCGTCCCTGCAGACATCACCAAGAGAAGGCTACACCTGCCTCAAGTTACCTTTACTAGCGAGGTTGGTTCAGGGATAATTGTTTAGCAATTGGCTGTAACAAGTACCGGTCACAGTCAAAATCAGTCCGAATATAATCAACAAGCATTTTCACCTATGAATGATATGGGATCAAAACTATGTATAGTTCGGCCGCTTAGAAAGCGACCTCCTCCAGCATTGGTTTAACATTAGCACGCAGGTCGTTTTCTAAGCGGCCGAACTATAGTTTGTCCAACTTTCAGAGTGAGCTACAGTGAAATATATTTTACCAAAATGTTTCTCCATGGATGCCTTTGTTCTTGATTGAAGTTGTGAAGAATGACAACCAATCAAGAACTAAGGTATCCATTGAGTGAATATAACGTTTAGTATGTTTCTTGAAATTGAGTCCAGAAATAATTTATTTTTACCTTAATGGTCTTTTAAAATTTGACTTTCGATGATAACAGATTTTTTTTTCCTTTTAGTCAGCCAGTCAATGATTTGTAATAAGTTTATTGTAGTAAGATACAAGATCAGAATTTTTATAACTATCTGTTTTAACACCGTCTCTGTTAAAAAACTAAACACATAAAAACTGAACAACTTCAGTTTCAGAGGTACTTTCAGAGGTAAAGTGGGCTGCTGTCAACCATTTTTTACATTTTTTTTGCTCTTTTAACACTTTACTCTTGATAGGGGAAGATTTTTCTCTCTTTATTATTGGTGGATGATTTGTGAAGTTTATTAGTATAGTATACAAGATCGGAATTTGGATATTTCCTTAGTCTTGAACCACCAAAAAGTAAAACAAGATATAAAAAAAAACTTACTCTTTAATTTGATCAAATCTCACATAGAGCTGAAAGAAATGCAGTAAAAAACAGTCCGTGGAAGAACACACTTCATCAGTGGATTAATCAATCTAAAATATCATAATTAATTTTAGCTTACCATTGTAGCTCACAGATTTACCTTGTAAAATGGACTTAGTAAAACCCCACTACCCAGTAAGTTTAGACTGATATTGTTTCTTAATTGTAATTATTTATGAGGTGTATTGTAAAATGCTGTTGAAGTTCTGATTATGACAATTCATTTTTAATTTGATTTACTTTGTTAACATTTCTCAAGACTATGATTATTTTTTAGTTGATATATTTGATTTGGGTATGTTACAAGTACTCAAAATAAATATCATAATTAAAAATTGTTAGAAATAAAACCCATGTTAGGTGCAGTATTCAGCCGTTCCCATTTAGTAGGTTTTCTGAATTCAACAAATAAAATATTTGTTTTGGGAACCAAAAAATTTTATTAAAAGAGATAATTTAATTTGCTAAACAATTATTAAATCAGCTAGAACTTAAGATTGTTTCATACAAGACACATGTACAGTGAAACATACTTATAACTTTTGTATATATATTTCACGGTGAATTTGTCAAACAATTCTTCACATACTATCTAATAACTTGTTGTACAGTTTCTGTAAGATAAGTAAAAAGTTTCCTCGGAAAAAGGTAACTAAATGTAACTCTGATAAGACTTATGATAAGTATTCAAGCCAGTCATCAGGGTATTATAGGGATTTAGTAACTATCTTGTAGCAATAGCAGACCATTTAACAGCATTTTTCCACAGCATTCAAATCGTGGAAGTTTATTTAACTAAACAAATGTTTTTTATTTTAGGCCCATAATGTATTATTTGTTACCAAATTTTCCCTTTTGTATTTATTTCTAGTTATTTTCCCCTTTGGAGTATTATTTGTTTTTGTTATCCTTAGTATGAGTATTTTGTTTCATGTTTGCGATCGGAATTTGATGTTGTTGAATGTAGCTTGTTCCTATTTTAGAGTACAATGCGGAAGGCCAGTATAGCAGTTATTGTTATTTATTATTTGTGATAGGTGCTCTGACATTACATTCTGCTTAGTTATTTATTTTACGGTTTGTAAATAACTTATTATATGTTGATATTATTAATTTTATGCTGCTGCAGAACATTTTTGTTTCTTAGTTATTTTACTTTTGAGAATGATGTCAGTTTCACGTGTATATTTTTGTGATAAACCTTTTTGTGTATCTTGAGTTTCTTTATTTTTCCTTTAGTTCTATTTTTATTTTTTAAATTACCTATAAAGATGGTATTGAATATGTTCACTATGTTTTGCTTCATCTTTTATTTTTTTTTTCATCTACATTCCAAGATCGATTTTTTTGATTTTGTTTATTAAAAAAAAAATTGTAATGGTATTGTAAGGAATTGGTCCGAACCCTAAAATTGTTACAATCTAATGTCAACCTTATGTTAGGTAGCATTGATAGCCCAATGACACGTGGCACTATAACCAATCGATCGGCTACTCAGACCAGACAAAATGTGTATACTCCACCCAAAAATTATAGTATTTAATTCTCCAAGCAAACACCAATCAAATTTAGAGATAAATTATACTCATCCTGTCTAATATATTTTTTATCCAAAAAAGGTAAACAAAAATTGTAAAGGTAAAAAAACCTGTGTATGGTAAAGAGATTGTACAATAGCAATGCAGCACTGCATAGCTAATAATTGCATCAATGCAATGTTATAAGTAATGTTAATTAATGTTTTCAAAATCTGAAAATTGTTATGTTGTTTAGCCTCATGAGTTCCAAAACCGTGCAATCTCAAACTCTTAGAAGTAAAGTAAAGGAATCTCTATAATTTATTTTTCAGTTTACCTTACAAAATTTACCATTGGCCAACCTGTTTGAAGTTAGGACAACTCAGTGAGTATTTCAGTTAGCCCAGGTAGCATTCTTCGCTGAGAAGGATTCTTTCACTGTCTGTTAGTTAAAGTTGTTGATTTTTAAATAGTTTTTGATCGCCCCCTGTAACTAAACAATAAATTATGTTTTACTTCAAAATTGATTTTGCAACAAAATATTGTGAGATTTTCTTAACTCAAGCTTAAGAAAACAACCCCAGATGGAGGAGAATAAAATAAAGTAAGAAGTAATGGCGTTTGGCTTAGAGGCTTATTTTTTTAACATTTTATTTCTTAAAAACTAACATCAAACCAAGCACGTTGATCAGATATTCTTTTACTCGGGTAGAAAGAAACATCACGAATATGGAGAGGGTACAACTGGCTTTAGATTCATATCAATGATTTACCTTTTTACCTTGTTACTGACCAGCGTTGCCTGAGCATGTACATACTATTTGCACAACCTCCTGCCAACAAAGGGTTTCTTTATGATTTAATCATTTCCTAATAAAAGTAATATGATTTATAGATGCTAAAAGCTAAAATTGTCATTCAACTCTAAGATGTAAGATGTAAGAAATGTGAAAAAATGTTAACAAAGTTTGTTTACTGAATGGCAGTTTAAAGATTTGGCATTTCCCCACAAAGAGTATTTATAAGAAATAGCTGCAAAAGTGCCCTTTGACTATGACTAGTAAGGATTTTAGAGAGTACTTGAAAATAGGATGTTCACTAGGGCATGCAGTAGCTACAATGATAGTCAACAAGAGTTTATTTTCTAAACTAGTGGAGTTCTACTGTAAAAAGTCATTTCAATTACTAACTGTCAAACAATCGCTACTTTATGGATAAGACTATAGATATTATGTATCTACATTGCTTTGATTGATGTGATCGCTTGATTGTTCACTTTCTGACTGAATTTTAAATCATCCTAGTCAGTGTATTAGCTAGGGGGTTAGAAATGTTTTGATGTATCCATCTCCCCCCCCCCCAAAATAAAAATGTGCAAACTATTCACAGGAAGTCATTGATTACACAGTTTACTCCCGAAATAGAAGCATTAAACAACATAGCTCAATTTTACACAGTTTTCTGGGAAAGGACTTCCCCCCATTTTTGAGAAAATTTGGTATCGATCCACACCCTCCCTTGAAAAATATCAATGGCTACGTAACTACACTACTGAGTGTTGTCTGACAGTTTTGGCAAAACTGGAGCTCACACCTGCTCTAATCAGTGAGAAGCGACTGAGACTAAGACCAGGAACCTTCAATGTGAACTAATAAAAATAGCAAGCATTTACAGAATAATTTAGATTTAATTTTGCCAAAATCTTAATCTAACAACAGCCCCTATGTTTTCTTGGCTAAATCAATATTTTATATTTTCATCTTTTTTATTGTTAACCTCTTAAATTTAATATGAAATATGTAGAGAATATTTACAGTCATTTTAGTAACAGCCTAAAACTTAGGACATCTTATTGTTTCTTACTGGAGCCCTTTTCCGGATACCAGGGTAATTTTAGTAAGATTTTAACTGTCCTGGAAAACCAGGACATATATATAGCTACAGTAGCCAGACACCATTTTTATTACTAAAGTCTGAAGTCCAATCACTAAATTTAGGTGGTTTAAGGGGAAAGTGGGTTCTTCCTACCACTTCTTTTAGCTTAATGCAGGGGTATCCATATTTCCATATCCAACCTTTTTTACTCAAGGGCCATATTGACAATTTTTGGAGGAAAGGCAGGCTGGACTGTCAAGTAGAAAAGTGTTTCAGTGTAGGAAAGTAGCCCACCTTCCAAATTACCCACAAAGATGAGGTAGATTTCAAAGAGCTCAGCAAAGAAGTTTGAAAATTTCTTGCTGATTTTTTGTTGCTATATAACCTACTAACCTACTATAACTAACTGAAATTCTTAAGGTGTTTGTGTGAATGATGCTGTATGACCAATCAAAATAATTTACCTACCCACATATTTTTTTTATAAGTATATAAATTGTGTTTGTCATTTTTATACTTTGTCATAATAAGTAGGCTTATGATTATTAGAATCCAAAAGAAAGTTAATATAAATTAAATTTACAGTATATTTACCAAGATATTAGTGTTCTATAATGGAAGTGTTTAAGTAAGACTGATGAAAACACAGGATGGTACAACACCAAATATTTTTGATGTAGGTACCAATCGCAGGAGATGATCGCGGTATCGCCAAGACTGCAAAACTTACTTACCGGTGTTGCCGCGAGTTGATGTTGTCAGCTGTCAGTTGTTGTTTCCAAGTTAAAGTGAAGTGGTGGAGGGGATGAAATCGCTTCCCCTCAAACCGCCTAAATTTTGTGAACCAAGTATGGATCTATATTCCATATGCCACAGCAATAGCTGTTATTAAGTATCTGTCAATTATTTTTTCTTCTGTTATTAGGTTGGTGGCCAAATTCAAATCAGGCGTAGGCTAACCAAAATCCCTATTTGTTAAACAACCTTGAAAATGAACTCTAGGTGATCATTACCTCTATCATTTGGTGTTGGTGCTCAAGATGGTGGGGTGTGCATATGTAGTATGCACCAAATCCTAGAATTAGTGGCATACCCTCTTGCTGATTGCAAATTACATCATCCATCCCCTCAGAGGATATTTATTTTCTCCTGGATTTGGGAAAGGATATATGGAGTCCAGGCCGACTTGTATTGTTGCCAAGGTATCTATTTGTGAATTCTGGAACAATTAAACAATGACTGTGTGCATGAGTGAACGTATGCACTACCTATATCAAATTAATCAAAATTAATTTATCAATTTGAGACAGGAGTTCTCTTATGGTTCCTCTTCTGACGCAGAGTTCTTGGAGTAGAGCTCCTCATATAACTCCTGATCAGGACCACTTTAAATCCTTTGGTGTGGTGGGGTTGGCTTTAAGATTTGGAACTTAATTCCTTGATATGGAGGATCTCCATGTCCCTCCACCATGATGCTAAGATCCTGTCTTGCCTAACCTGTATCCCTGCTTGAAGTTGGAGGAAAACCTTAATCTTTATTCTCTCTTTTAGGCCTGGACATCCTGACAAAGAGTTGAAAGTGTAAAGAGCTCTCTCCCCTTATGTTGTTCCTTTTTTCTTCTGGCTGAGAGGTTAGCTTTGCCACATAGGGATCAGGTTGTTTGTCTCAGGGATAGCTGAATTCACTGCCTGTCACAAAAACTAGATGTGTGATGTTGTGCAGGGCAGCCCTGAGAGCTCCAGTGAGGGCCGGAGACAGGCTGTCTACCAGCTGCTACACCTAGAGCAGCAGTACACTCTGTGCCTTCAGTTCGGAATAGCCAGGTTCCTGTTGCCCCTCTCAGAAAGGAGGGACATCATTACACCACAGGATCACAGTGTACTTTTCCAAAATGCTCAAGAGGCAAGTTAAATTTGTTTTGTTTACTGCAAAATAATTACCATCAATGCTAAAATATACTGTAGAATAAAAGAAATGGGCATAGAGGTCTGATTTGGCGAGCTTAGTGTTAACTTATTGTGTGTGTTTTTAATTAATGTAATTTTCTATTTTGCTCCAAGCATTTTTAATTTGGCTGCTGGGCTAGCTTATGACATTGAACTAGACATTTTATCTACATGGACCAGATTTAAACTCAAATTAAACACACGCTAAACTTTCTTTCACGGATTATTATTCCAGTGTGGTTGATAAGGATAATAACAAATTTACTTATCAGTTTGGTACTGTTGAAAATGTTTTGTGTAAAAGAAATAGTATTTACAACAGCATATTCTTGTCTCAAATTAACATTGATATTCTTTTGTTCTGAAACTGGTTCCAGATAATATGAAAATAAGAGCTCAATTTGAGAATAGAGAACCTTTGGTCAAAGCCAATGGTTGTACCTAAGCACTGTGCTGAATTTGAATTTTTTTCAATCCAACCAAATAAGTTACTGTAAGTTTATTGTTGTTTTTTTTTTGTTTTTTTTTTCAAATCGATGTTAACTTTTACATTTTATACATCTTAAATATGAGTATATTTTTTTGGTAATGTAAATCTGCTAATGATCATCAGGCCTGTAAATTAAATGATGACAACAGTATTACGGGAAAAGCAGCAATATTGACAAACTGAAGGCCAATAATAAAGATCAGTGAATGAATAGTATATTTCATTACTAGGACCGAAAGTGGCATTTTCCGTCGCGTGCTCAAGTTTTTGTGTGAGGCGAAGCCGAACACAGGGAACATCAATTTCACGTGCGAGGCGAAGCCGAGTATGTGAGAGCTATTTTCACGTACGAGGCGAAGCCGAGGACGGGAATAATGGAGCAAGTGCCGGATAATAACTTTCGGTACGAGTTATGAACGATACTTTTCATCACAACGCAAAAATACACAAACACAGAATAGCAGACCTCAGTAATATTACAACTATTTTATTTCTCAATTAATTTGATTGAACATCAAAATAAAATAAAATAAAATAAAATTTATCTAAAAGGAAACCTACGTATATTTCTCAATACATTTTGTTTAAATATCAAAATAAAAGAATAAAACAACTTTGAACAATACATACAGCTGGTTCAAATCTTTAAATTTAACCATAACAAAACACTAGCGCGCGTAGTGAATAAATGGAGAACTAATTTAGAGCGAGGGAAAGTAAATTTAGAGCGAGGGAAAATCAGCTGATCGATTTTCCCTCGCCCTAAATTAGAGCTTGGGAAACGACTACTTTCATTGATGTAATCTGTTATCGAAAATAGTTACTTTCGTTACGGAGTGATGAAAATAAGTTTTTCACCACACTATGATGTTTTTGGCTGTATTACATACGTTAATTGGTGGCTGAAAGTTACGTTTTGCTGGCCATGCCAGCTGTCATCGTAGTTTGGGGACCGAGCAGGTTTTTACAGCCCGGGGCCGCAAAATCAGCTGTCCGCTTACCTACTTAATTCATGAATGCATTTTAAATACACAATCAAAATCCATAGCACTGCAATAGAATTGTGTTATTGTCACCGTTGCCTAGCAACTATTTATTTTTTTTTTTGCTGATTCCTCAAATTATTTCCTCACATAACCTTAAAGTTGTAGTTGTGTAGACTATCAGTGTACATTATTATAGTGGTGAATAGTGGTAATAGGGTATAGTGTGGTGAAAAATAGCGTTCGTACCACGGACCGAAATGGTTTTGCAGCTCTCGATTGATTTAAGTTCTCGACTTCGTCTCAAACTTAAAAACTATCTCGAGCCGGCAAAACCTAATTTTCGGCCCTAGGTACGAAATATACTGTTTTGACTTGACACATTCATCATATATTTATAATATCTACTGTAAAATGTTTAGGTATTTTATAAATGAGTGTTGCTCTATTACAGTTATTACGACTCACTGAAGATTTGTTAGAGATGATGATTCAAGAGGAAGGTGAACACTTTGGGATGTCAGTAGGAAGAATATACTTGAGAAAGGTAATGCATTACTTAATATTGTCTTTTGTAACAACCATTAGAGCTAAATCACTAATATTTGTTAAGGTGAACTCTTTTGGGATGCAGGATGAATATACTTAATGAAAAGGTAATACATTACTCCCCGACTTGTCTGTAACAATCATAGTTTAGAACTGAATCGCTAGTACTGTATTTAACACGGTGGATGCTCTGATGTCAGAAGGAAGAATATATTTCCACCAAATCAAAAATCTGTCCATCTATCATTTAATACAGTAAGGGGTTTCTATGTAGCACCTCTATTTTGCCCGTCCTACTAAACGATTTAGATTTTTGACCATTTAGATATCGTTTTAAAGTTTATGATCTAGCAGAGGTACTAATGATGGCTAGGAAGTTAATTTCACTAAGAGATTACTGCCCCCCCCCCTTTCTCTCCTACCTGGTTATGTTCCCAATCATGCACAGACTTGGAATTGGACTGAGATTAATAATTATTATCCTGTACATATTTATCTTATTACCATATTTATCTGTACTATATTACTATGTTTTACCTCTAAATGTTCAATGCTGGTGAGTAGCAGAACCGTATTGCAGCAGTAAACAAACTAAATTAAAGGTGAAATGATTTAAATAATGAACAAACAAATCCTCCTTATTATGGGCTTGTAGAGTTTAGTTCATTATAGTCTGATGTCACGCATGGTTTTCATAATACAAAATCAGGTTCAAAGATGAAATAAAACATTGTAATACATATGATATATTTTTTTTATCTTCGGGGTTATTTTGAAGTCTATTTACTATCTGAATCCTCAAATATATCTATTACTATAAAAACAGGCTCAACAACTTTTCTACCTTTTGAGTGTATGCATTTTTTCCCACACTTACATATGTTGTATTGTTCCATGGTAGATGACGGCCATGATGAGTGGATACCGACGTTACTGCTGCGGACTCAAGAAGGCGGATTGCTTGTTAGTGGAGAAAACAAGAAACTCAGCTTTCACAAAGCTCATCACGGAACCTCCTGTTCCTCGCAGAAGACCTGACCTCACTACTTTTGTACATAAACCCTTAGAAGTAAGTCAGGTTATCCTTGCTCTACATGACGTATTTGTTTTATTGTGATTTTTTCACTTCTTCAACTGCAATATGATAGACAAAAATCTCACCAGTACATCAATCTTTAATTTGGAATCATAATATGTGCTCTATTTAGTACAGTAGACTCCATCCGGACACCTTTTAACCGGACATCAGTTTAACCCGACTAGATCGGCAGGAAGTGGGCGGTACTCCGGTGGGTGGTAAGATTTGAGAGCAGTGATCACGTGTCTAAATACAATGCTCTCCTAAATTCAAGTCAAAAACTGTATACAGTATGCATTTAAATGGTCCGTTTTAACGAGTCTTTGGGGAGACGGTTTAACCGGAAAACCCGTTATCCGGACTTGCCTCGGTCCCGAGGAGTCCGAATAAGAGGGAGTCTACTGTATTGCTTATTTTGATTGTATGCTGTCATTTGTTCACAATTTCAACTTTTATGGTACTTTATACAAAAGTTTCAATACGAGTACGTCAATTTTTAATTAGGGTTCATGATCTATGCTCGTCTGTAACTTGAAACTTAACAGGAGAATAATAAGTTTTGGGTCAAGTTTAAGAATTATAACCAAAATATTCAGAGATATAATCATCCTATACTTATGAGGATAAGAAAAACAATAATTGTACATAACAATTCTAATCATTTCAAAAATGATAACAATTGTATATAAGCTTGCAGATCATTAGATAATATTTGATTAGATAATAATTGCTTCAAAATGTAATTATATGTCTTAGAGAATAATACTTTAACTTTGAGAGATATGATAAATTGAAGATGCACTAACTCATTTCTTATTTGCAGCATTTTCGTGATATTTTAAAGCTTTTACAAACAATACAAAACACTACTTCCTCAAAAGATGAAGACTATCCAGCCATTTCACGGGTGGTTCATGAATTCCAGGTAAGCTTATGAAGTTAGAATTCAGAATTATTAATCCTTAACAGGCTACATCAACCGTCTTAACTATATACTAAAAATGTTGCTACACTTCATTTATTTGGCTTTATTTGGCTACTTCATTTTTAATTGCTTCCCTCTCCTAATGTTTTGCAGTCCGTAAGTGTCCTCACTCATTGTCATGATTATAGTTTTGACTTAATTACTTATTTGCTCAATGTTGATTGTCGCTAAGTTATTAATTATTATTAACCCTCTATCTGTCTCAGAGTTTCCTTTTAATAAGATTAATCACTGTGTAAAATTGTACAAGCATTTACAAAATTATCAAAGGAAATAAAGACAGGTATTTTCTAATGTGTGCCAAAAAATATGTCAACCAGAAAGGCCAAAATGATTGCTAGTAGATAGCATAAATGAAATTAAATTAGATAAATGAAAAACTATTTACTTATACAGCAAAATTTCTTATACTTTACCTGTACACTTAAAATACAGCTTTGTAGTGATTTTAATGGGTCGTTTGTACTGATTGATGGCATCGGACACTTTGTAGATATAGAAAATTTGAATCATAGCTATTACTTCTTTTTTTTTCCTAAAATGTGGGACTGTATCAGAAAGTACCACACTTTTATCCCTCCATAGTTATGTTTGACATTATGTTGATGTGTGTGTGTGTGTGGGCAGGCTGCCTACAGAGATATAACAGTGGAGTCTGGCCTGATGGAACCAGAAGTGGAGGGAAGGCCTTTGTTGTCACTGCAGGATCTAGAAAGCAGACTAGTCTTCACCAGGTGTAAGGTTAGTCTCATAAATACATTGTCGATGATTGTTCTAAGTAAACGTTAAATGTGTCTTTTGAATTCACTTTGTAAGAATAGGAAACTTTTTGTTTAGTTTTGATGGTAGCCTTTACCACCAGGCTTTCAATGGCTAGAGAAACAGAGCCCCTCAAGTCATCTCAGTACATTTTATACTCGAATGCATTTATAAAGACAAGGACACGCAAAAAGTCTATTGCTGTTATAATACAAGTAATAATATACAGTACCGGTATGGGTTGATATCTTTAACATTGTAATTTGAAATAAAGGTTTATTCTCATAATATTTCCATACTAATAGTAAGTATAGTAGGCTAATATCATTACTCAGCCCCGCTGACAACAACAAACATTTTTTCCTCAGTAAGTGCTTTAGATGACATACATTGGTAAGTCTAAGTCTAAGTGTTAACATTAGCTCAATAGTGGGGAACTCAAAAAATAACCTGGTTGAGAGTTCCATATCCCTTGAAACAGAAAAAAAAACTTATACCACTGTTGCTTGATCTTATACCTCTTTAAACCATTAAATTCTATGTTTGATGTAGCCATTTGTCCTGAGCTCACCTGGCCGACAGTGGATATTCGGGGGCGACCTGAGTCGGGTCGAGGGCCGATCCGTCCGACCATTCTGGGCGTTGCTCTTCACCGACCTACTACTCTTTGCCAAGGTCAGCAGAGACAGAGTTCTATTTGTCACGGAGGAACCGCTTTCACTTCAGTTTGTCAGCCAAGCTCTTTTCTCGATACGGAAAAAAGGTAAATTGTTTTTTAATATATCCACAGTTCAAATATAACAATCTAGGAAAATAGATTGTGCTGGGTGCTGATGTCAGTTTAAATAACAGTGATACAAATCTGTATGATAGGTACAAATTTCAAATAACATTGTTGCTTTTTGGGAGGGAGAAATCGGGCTATATCTGTCCTGTCACTAGCTACTTCGTATAGGTACTACTATTGGATGCTACTTTTAGATTCAGTCAGCACCCCTAGGTAGCCTTATATAATTCTTTCCTGGATAAGCCATTTTTTTCAGATCTTGAAAACAACATCCTTCAAGTGACGTCCTTGAAAATGTTGACATTCTTCAAGTCGCTTGGAAAGACGTCAAATACTCTTTCAAGCATTTCTTGAGAAATTGCTTTAACCTCTTCGGCGATTTTCTGCCTGAGTTTGACCAGCCATCTTGTATCTTGTAGGGGTGGAAATGGAGGTCATAATGCTCCAAGACATCCTTCCAAGAAATCTCCTAGAAGCTATGGACAAGCTATGGACGACTGGACAAGCCAGCCTCTTTGGGTTTACCCAAAGTGAGAGTACCCAGTGACATTCCCTCCATTCAGGGTGGTGGGGGTGTTCAGCTCTGCTAGTGTTGATTAAGTTCATAGATCTTTCACCTGCCTGTAGCTTGTGGTTGTGACTGAGTCCTACCTGTCGTGTACGACTGACATTTTGTGAGGCATATCCTCGACTTTGGAAGTAGCCTCGTCCTGGGAGGTGAAATACCTAGCCCCCAGAGGGGAGGTAAATGCTCCGTGTTGGTATCGGCATTTTCAAGTTGGCCACAGACATGGACGACTGGGCATTGGGTCCCAGTGACATTCCTTTATCCAGGATGGAGGGGTGTTTAGCTCTAGGAGAGATGGAAGTACATCATAATCTCTAACCTACCTGTGTCTGTGGTTCTTTGGGCTTCGGCCTGCTTGTTGTGTGCGACCAGCATTCAGTGGGCAAATCCTCGACTTTGGAAGTAACCTTTCCTGGAGGTGAAAACGGGCAAGTACCCGCAGCTCACGGGGACACTCAAGGGCAACGTAACTTTCCGCAGTGTGAGGGCAACGGTTTGTAGGTACTTATGCAAACCAATCCCTGTCTCTGAGCACGGACGGTATGGTTATCTTGAGTGTGGGGGGTTCTTCCCGGAACCTCAATTGAGTCAAGGGTGTCGCCACCTCTGGTGGATAGGTTCATCCGGGTGGGTTCCACTTCTATACCTGCCTCCTTTTGGGAAACCCTGATGGCTTGGCAGTGATGTTGGGTCTGACGGGCAAAGGAAGTAGATCGGGTGCTGGGTCCGAGCCCGCCAGGGATATCTGGGGATCTATCGCTCTGGTTATCTCTGGTTTCCCAGCAATGGGTAAGGCCTCGATCGGGCAGCGGTGTAAATGGGAGGTTGGGGTTCCCCCCGTCAGCGTGCTGACGGTCCCCTTCCTTCTGGCTATTGATGGCGGGCTTGCCTGTCAGGGATTAGATAGGTCCCGAGTGTTGCTTGCACTAAATGCGTCGGGGCGCTCCATTATGGACCTCTAGGTTCCGACCTAGTGGAACCCAGGTGGAGTGACGCTTAAACAAGCAGCCGGAATCCCTGGTTAGGATTGAGGGGCAACCCTCTTTCCGAAGGGTCTGCTTCGGCAGCCGGCGAGCCTGATGACCTTAAGTCATCCGCCCATGATGTGCTAAAGGTTGATGCATAAGCTTCGGCCTACATCATGGGGCCCGGGTTAAGTCTCACGACAGGTACCGGGTACGTAGTCAGGGGGCTTCGGCTCTCATGACAAAGAATAATAATAATAATAATAAATCTCCTAGAAATTTGAAGAGCCAAGGACTAGTTCCTGGCTACTTTCTCTTTAGACTTTGAATGACTGCGGCTCGTACTCTCCCCACATTGGCTGGTGTGTGAACAGTTTTACGGCTTCCACCAATCTTTTTTGGGTCGACGCCGTTCTTCTAAATAATGATACTCTATCTTTAACCAACTCGGAAAACCCCGTTTCAATCAATATATTGAAATGCTTCCTAAACAAACTCTGTGTAAAAAAAAATCATTACTCTTAAAAAATGTTTCCACAGCAAAAGCACAGTATTCAGGATTCTAAAACGCCATATTTACTAAAAAGGTATCGTTCAGTTTTGTTTATGAGCACAGCTATTTCACTCATTGCTGCCATTTTTTAACATCTGGTAGCTAAAATAAATTGTATAGTTGTTCCACTCTGTACTCTGTTCCCTTTTTTGGCACTGATTACTTTTCCAATTCCTTCTATATGGATCTATATCAACATATTTACTCACGCATTTATTTATGCTCACCCCATAGCGACAGAGTTCAGACTGATCCTGAGTGCTAACCCACCTGGGACAGACAGTCCAGCAACGGGTGGTTGCGGCGGCCATCTACCCGACCTTCCTCTCACCCGAACACCCAGAAAAGGACGAGGTCGGCGCACCATCGCTTTGCGAGCACCCTCACCCGAACTGAAAGCTGTCTGGCAGAACCTCATACAACGGCAAATGTGAGTAAATAATTTAATTGAAAAGTAAGTAGTTTAGAAACACCATTAACAACAATTTTAAATTAAAACATTTATAATGAAGACCAAATAAAGATGAAAATGCCGAATGATCACTTGAACCAAACAAATCCAGCAGTATTTCAGGCTATTTGTAACTTTTAGGATGGTTACTGTGTTAAATGTGTGATCAATTTTTTTATCTTTTCGTACATTAATTGGATTTCCTTGTGATATTTGTAAAATAAAACTTGAACCAAACCAATTTTGATTGCTGTATACAGAGCAATCGATCTTTTACTATTTGAAAGTAAAGTATTGACAGCACAGTTATAGCACTCATACTTATAGCATAGAGCGTTTTAAGGTCCGAAAAAATAATTTTGAGGTACCGGTAGCTAATTGGTCATAGTGCTCACCTTTAAATATACTTGCTCAATTTCATGGATTATGGACCAGGTGCCATTTGTTACTGTGCTTTCCGAACTAATGATGTTCCGGCAAAAAGTCAAGGTTAGACTGTAATAATTAATTGGGGTTTGGACAGTTCCCAAATCGCAATAAATGCCAAGGTTGTAGGCAGATAAACACAAATTAAAACAATTGCAAATATTATGAAAAAAGTGATGAAAGTGCGGGCTAATTTTCTAATGTGTATGAATTGCCTTAAACCATTCAATGAGAAAGCATAAGAGAGGTTATAGTGGTCGCCTAGCAAGGTGACTGGTTTGATCCAGGGAAAAGTAAGTAGCGTTTTATGGTTTTCAACTGGACCCAGCACAGCTGTCCTGAATCATTGGTCTTTCAATGAATGGTCCTGGCTAAAGAACAGCTGGTCTTAAAGTAACAAATCTACTGTATCTTACAGTTCCTTCACTCATATTTTGGTTATAATACGCTATCTTGATTGGTAATATTTCAATGTGTACCACGATGTTGCAGTATTTACCTCAATACAGCCAGGGGTGGTACTCCTGCTAGCAGTCCACTGGACTCCCCCGACCCTCTGACAGCTGACTCCGTAGCTACTCTGGACTCTCTGTGTCTCAAGCGCCAGGTACATCACTCTCCTCCCCCTCCTGCCCCTCCACCATCCCCAACTGACTCTCCCCCTCCACCCTCCTGACCATCACTACCCTCCCATCCAAACAGATGCTGTAGCCCTACACGCTTTTAAAATATTGATAAGATACAATACACAGACTTTGATTTTCAAGAATGATACGATAAGATTGGCAAATAAAGGTTCTTTTAAGCTGTGCCATTGTCAAATAAACTGATTATTTTATAGCTTTTGATGCTTAGCAAGCAGGTATCTCGGTTTAAAAACATGAAGATAATCAATAACATAATTGCTTGGTATTGGGTAACTAACACCATGCATGGGAATTGTCAAAATGTATTTATCATTAGATTAATTCCATCCACAACCATATAGCATCAGAATCAATTATGCTATATATTATCTAACCTAAGGTCGACGTTAGATAGTAATATAACCAGATTTTGGACCGTTCTGTTACAAAAAACATAAATATTTCAAATAACTCAATGTATTGGACAAAATGTATGGACAATGTATTGCCAACACCAACACAAAGTTAAAGTTAAATTAAACACATTTAAAAAACACATACTGTACTTTCAGTAGAAATTTATTCACTCATATTGAGATTGTTATAGATGGAAAGAATTAAAAGAAAATACAAACCGGTTATTATGGAAAACCGTTTTCTTAACCTGATACTGCTGCCAACCACATTAAGTATTGGCTCACCTATAAGCAGCAGCACATCCACATTACTTATTGTCAAATTTGTTGTAATTGTTCCTCTATATCAAGTAAGTGTATTGAAATATAAACGCAGTTAAACTTTCAAAAGTTTTAACTAAAAATTTTACTTTATCTTGCTGTGCTTCATCTGTATTGCACCATATGTGATCGTAGCAGAAGCAAAAGAAAACCTTATTTGCTAACCTTATCATTCATAGGGTAATCCACCCAAAAAGACAAAATATTATTTGCAAACATAGTTCCTGATAGAGTGCTGTTTTATATTGATTCCTAAGATAGTCTTCCTATGTGTGCTCAGTTGAGGGGATACAGATGAATCAATGAGTTGTGGATCTTTAGAATCATAAAAGTATTTCCCTTAATATAATTATTTTGGCTACCATATCAAAATATTAACTGAGAGAACTGGAATACTATGATTTCTATGGTGCTTTTATAGTCCAAGGAGAGTAGTTTACTCAAATATAACCATCAATAAAGAGATTGGAAATTAGACTCTTATTGGTTTGTTTTTTTTCTAACTTATCGGAACTTCCTAGAGCTTGATGATAATAATACAGGGTATACAAAATATTTATTCTTTGACTGGGTGGTTGGAAAATAAACTTGGTTAAACACTATTTGTCGTATTTGATTAAAACCATAAACCAAAAAGACACACAAATACAATCATATATTAATAAAATAGGATTCAATATGCTGATAAATGTAATAAACTCTAATGTGCTTTAGTAAAATCTCTTCCTTACTTCATTCATCTTTATTCAAATTTAATGGGCTACAGAAAGGATGTGGAGGAAGTAAAATATATTCGAAATTGCAAATAATGTAAATACCGTATTATAAAAACTTAAACGTAATATATTTTAGTTTTAAAGATTAAATACGCTTTAAAATACCTGTTAGCAGTGTGTAAATACGAGTAATTTATAAGCTTTACATTTTTAAGAATCAAGAGTACAAATTGCTTTTTTGCAGTTTTTACAATATACCAATATGCATAAGTAGGACTACTGAATAGTTGTTAGTTATTTTTTTCATATTTTTACCAATATTATTGCTATGACAAGTTTGATACAGGTAGTAAACACAGGAGCTGCTTTAAGGGTACAAAAGAGGTTGATTGTATATAACATTTTTGTTGTAAAAATTTAGGTTTCGCTTATAAACGACGCTTATAATAAGGTTTTATTATGTACTTTTCCAAAACTAGTTTAGAAATAGGGACTGTATGTGTACAGGGAGCGACAAAATTATCTGACGGTTTTCTTTGCCGCCCTTTCAAGTGAGTTAGTGGTGGAGGATAGTAGGAATAGGGGCATTTTTAGTAGCCATGGAGCTGTGGACGGCTGAGCACTGTGCGTTCGTAGTGAAAGCGTTTTTTAAAGTGGCGATTCAGCGGCAGTTCCGTAGACGTTTCAATGTGGGACAAAGAAGAAAAGTCCCAAACCGAAACACCATTTGCTGTGGGTGGGTAACTTTAGAGCTACTAGTTCAGCATTGAAACTAAAATCAACAAAGACCAGCCCGGACGCCAGAGAACGTCAAGAGAGTGGGAAAGACTATGTGGTGTGGTTGAAATTTGTCGCTTATAATGACAATTTTGTCAGTTGTAAGCAAATCAATCACTTGTTCTGAAAACTATTTACGCTTTGCTTAACCATTTGGTTTCAACTGTTGCACGATTGCCATTTTGTGGATGAAAGTGCAGGTCGTATCATAATACTCTTCTACCAAGGGGCCAGACATGTGCAGAGCTCCAGCTTGTTTGCGTGCAGGCCACCACAGCTTCTCCCACTCTCTCAACGTTTCCTGGCGTCTGGGCTGACCTTGCACGACCTGTTCATTTTTGTGTCAATGCTAAACTAGTAGCTCTGAAGTTACCCACGAACAGCAAAATTGTGTTTCTAGTTGGGACCTTTCCTCTTGGACCCACATTGAAATACCTACGTTACTGCCGATGAACAGGTACACAGGAATTGCAACTTTTAAAAAGGCTTGTCCACTACGATTGCACAGTGGTCAGCCGTCTACAGCTCCATGGCTAATAAAAATGCCCGAACGTAAGATTTGGAACGCCCTTATTCCCAACACCCTTCACCACTCACTCACTCGACAGGACGACAAAGAAAACCGTCAGATCATTTTGCCGCTCCCTGTATTACTAAATTACTCACTATTTATTAGTATAACAATCATTTGATTCTTTCTATTTGAAACAACGTGTGAATGTGTTGATTTAAATAAACAGTAGGATAGAGGATAGTGTGACTTTTATGGTTATTTATTTATAAGTACTGTATCTGGGTTAGAAAAAACTTAAAACATGTTTGTCTTACGAAGGTGATGTTTATTTGGCATTTAACTTCACAAAAACTGTAGCAACTGAATTTTTGAAGGTTCACATGTATATGGATACACACTAAATAATACTGTATTCTAACAAAAAAGGTCAAAAACACTACTGACTTTTTTCCTCTACTAATAGTACAGATAATATGCAGCACAGGATGCAGGAGGTTTAACAGTTTATCCGTATAGTTATAACATAAAATCTACATTAACAAACAAAAATACCAGTCTGTCTAAAATCGTAACTTAATAAGATTGTTGTGAAAAAGTAAAACAATATTTTTTACGTTAATATTAATTTTAAACAAGCTTGGACCAAGCTGAAATGAAATTAAAAGAAATGAAAATGATTTCAAGCTGTGCCTTTTCATCACATGATGCAAAGTCCATACATGTGAACCTAGGCTTTGTTACAAGTATATTGGAGCATGCATATAAGTAATTTGACTATTTAAAAGAACAACGTTTTTGATTATCGCAGTACTTTTTAGAAAATTTAATTGTGTGTTTTTCTTTTAAGTTTAAGTGCAAGAAATAAAGTTGAATTATAAATAAATTTAAAAACAAGTTAGATAACTAAGTATAAATAATAGAATAGTATTTGTGTTTTAAAATCCCAAACTTGAAAATATTTTATCCATCCAAAATATGTCATTCAATGTTTATAAATTGGACCAATCTGACTAATTCATCAGTTGAGCAGCATTGATACATCTCATTTATTGTTTATTAACAATCAGATTAATCAGAAATTTATTCTGCGAGTAATTAACTGTGAAAGTTTAAGTGCATTTTTAACTGTTTGGATTACACACAATATATAAAAATTATAATACATAATAATTAATTATAACAAATTATATTATATTTATTTGTGCCCGTCTCACTCATACTTCCGTTTCAGGGACTAAACAAATGCAAATATTTAATAAAATAATGTAGGATTTGTAGAAAAATATGAATAAAATCCCGGCATAAATAAGGTGTGTATTTGCATTGTGATGAATACTTCTTTCATTCGTCATCAAAGAGCATGAAAACATCCGTAGTTTATTTGGCATTCAAAACTAACTTCATTAATAGGAATAGCTGCAAGAAATTTTCATTGATATTAAATGTGATATAGAATTCAATGTTGTGAACACCTTAACACCAATGAAGTGAAAATCTATGGTAATTCTTAGTTTTGTAACAGGCTCTAATAGGCTTACCTAACAACTAACATAAAATTTTTTATCAAACTAAACATAGTTAATGTAGGTTTCACTAAAATATTTACTTGAATGCAAGATAATGAAAATAAATAGCTTAAACAAACCGGGATGTATTTTTATACTTTTATTTTTAAATAGATTGTTTTTTACAAAACCAGATTGAAGATCAAACAATGATAAAGATCATATTTTTCAGTGAATCAGTTCAGTTTTAAGCTTGCTGTTCTTCTTCTTAAAGGTGAAAAATTTTACAATTAAAAAACACAGGAATAAAACATTTGTATCCTAAACTTTTAATTAGACCGTTTAGATTTATGTTTTGAATTTTTTTATCTCAGATTTCTCATTTGTGATTATTTCAAACCCAAAACATTTACCTGAGAGGTTATGAAAAAATAAATAATTACATATTTGCATGAAACTGAAAGCTTGGTTCATTCATGTGAGCCATTTTATTGTATTTTTTATGTATTTACTTGAGTTACCAAAGACTGCTGAAGAATACAGTAAGTGTAGTATTGTAAACTATGTTTTTAGTTGACATAGTTTGAAATTGAGTTTTTCAGAGAGGATAAAAAAGTAGTTATCAGGAGTATAAATTTTCATCTATTTTTTTAAAGCTCAAAATAACAATTTTGGTCTATAAACATAAATGATCATAATTTTAATCTTAATTCTTAACATATGTGTAATCTA